GAGTCTTCCTTCCCCTCTACCCTCCTAGATGGAACAAAAACGAGGTCCGTTTTGTCGCTCCAGGAAGGGGCTAGTGGAGAGCCAGCTTCCTTTCCTCCCAGGGTAGTACAGTGAGGAAGGTTCCCCTCCTCCACCTCCTTCCCCAGACATGGCGGACGGGGGAGGGGACTTCACTGGACGTGTTAAAGTGCCATTGAGGAGGTAACCACACCAAGGGGCCCCCACTTCTCCATATCAATGTCATTCTGGCCCCTCAAAGTCCCCCGATTAGGCCCCAACCTTAACCCTTCCATTCCCAAGATCCAACTGAATCCAGGTCATAGGGGTGCCTAGGAGAAGGTGTGGGGCCTCCCAGCCTAGGCCTAGTGAGGGCTGAGGACAGACAACAGGCAAACTGCTGCCCACTTGTCCTGGGAATCCTCCCAACATAGGCAGCTCCCCGACCACCCTCTCCCAGCCTCTCCTAGGCTCCAAGATATTTCCACATCCATACTTTTACTCTGCCCACCCCCCCACCCAACCCTGGGCTTGGGGAACTACTTCGTTTTATCTTAGAGATCTGGAGTGGGAAACTTAGGGTGGGAGGAGACTGAAGCTGCCCGGGGCCACTGTGAGGGCAAGTCCAGCGGGTTGGTCACCTGGGTGGGGGTGTGCCCATCCACTGAGCAGCCGCCTCCCACAGCTGACCAGTTCCTGGAGTCTGGGATTTCTTTCCTCTTTGCTCGAGTGTGGAGATGTTGGGCCAAAGAGGAATTGGAGTCTTAAAAACCTGGGGTCACTGGGCGAGGTGGCGCACACCAGTAATCCCGGCACTTTGGGAGGCTGAGGAGGGTGGATCACTAGGTTAGGAGTTCAAGACCAGCCTGGCCAAGATGGTAAAACCTCGTCTCTATTGAAAATAAAAAAAAAAATTAGCTGGGCAAGGTGGTAGGCGCTTGTAATCTCAGTTACTCAGGCGGCTGAGGCAGGAGAATTGCTTGAATCTGGGCGGCAGAGGTGGCAGTGAACTGAGATCCACCACTGCACTCCAGCCTAGGCGACAGAGTGAGACTCTCATTTCAAAGAAAAAGAAAAAGTATGGTGGTGCCTGCCTGTAATCTCAGCTACTTGGGATGCTGAGGCAGAATCACTTGAACCTGGCAGGTGGAGGTTTGGGTGAGCTGAGATTGCCGTTGCACTCCAGCCTGGGCAACAAGAGTGAGACTCCATCTCAGACAAACAAACAAAACAACAAAACCTGGGCTTCTCTTACGCCCTTTCCGGGCACCACGCTCACCGGATGTGTGCAGACCCCCACCAGGCCATGACATAGGGGTTTAGAGCTGCCTGTGGAGCCGGCGGGCCACTGAGGCAGGGCCCCACTGCAAGTGGACCAGCCATTCCGCTGTCCCTCGGATGCAGGACTCAGTATTCAAACTGAGAATGTCCCTCGAAAAAGTGGGAGCTGATCACCTTAGGCCCAAGGCAAAGGAGGACTTGTTTGGGCCCAGGGAAGAGAATAGTCCCTGGGTTGGGGCTTCTAGGTGGGGGCCTTCCCGAGGGCCAGGCTCACCGGCTGCCTCCTGACAGCTGCCCAAACCTGTGCGGCTGGATTCCTCGAGGCCCCTGGATAGCTGCGAGGCAGCCCACGGACTGGCTGGCCTCTGTCTGCCTTTCTTCTCTGCTCTCCCCACCCCCATCCTGTGAAATCTGAGCCCCAGGGGCAGGGCGAGCCTGACAAACCCTCTGAAGATTCCCTGAATCCATCGATGGCCATTTTCCAGCCCCTGTCATCACCCCCCATCCTCCAGACTCCATAGGGCCACCAGGTCAGCCCCTTGTACAGGAGGAGCCCCTCTCAGTGGAGAGGCCTAGGGGGTGGTATGAAGGAATCCAGACTTCTCTTTACCTTCCAGACCAGCTGACTGGCGCTGGCCTCAGTCTCTGTATTTTCCAGAAAGATCTTAAACTCTTTTGGGTCAAGGCCCCTTTGCAAATCTGAAGGAAAGTATAAACCTCTCTTCTAAGTATCGTTTTTCTTTTTTTACAGACAGGGTCTCGCCTAGGCTAGAGGGCGGTAGCATAATCATAGCTCACTGCAGCCTCCAACTCCTGGGCTCAAGAGATCCTCCCACCTCAGCCTCCTGAGTAGCTGGGACTACAGACAGGAAACACCTCATTTGACTAATTTTTGTATTTTTATTTTTTGTAGAAAACGTATTTTGTAAAAATAAAAAATTAAGTTTTGTATTTTGTAAAAAAAAAAAAAATTAATGAAAAAAATTTTTGTATTTTTATTTTTTGTAGAAAATGTTGCCCAGGATGGTCTCAAATGCCTGGCCTTAAGCAATCCTCCTACCTTGGCCTCCCAAGTAAGTGCTGGGATTACAGGCGTGAGCCTCGGTGCCTGGACCCAAAAGATGCTAAAACCCTTTCCCAGAAGTGATGCTTTTTTATTTTTATTTTTTTATTTTTTATTTTTTTTTAATTTAATTTTTTTTTTTTTTTGAGACGGAGTTTCGCTCTTGTTACCCAGGCTGGAGTGCAATGGCGCGATCTCGGCTCACCGCAACCTCCGCCTCCTGGGTTCAGGCAATTCTCCTGCCTCAGCCTCCTGAGTAGCTGGGATTACAGGCACGCGCCACCATGCCCAGCTAATTTTTTGTATTTTTAGTAGAGACGGGGTTTCACCATGTTGACCAGGATGGTCTCGATCTCTCGACCTCGTGATTCACCCGCCTCAGCCTCCCAAAGTGCTGAGATTACAGGCTTGAGCCACCGCGCCCGGCCAGTGATGCTTTTTTAAAAGACAGAGTCTTGCCTAGGCTGGAGTGTGGTGGCAGCCACTTTGGGCTGGAAAATGGCCATCGACCGACTCAGGGAATCTTGCGGGGTGTTTGTCCAGTTCGCCCAGCCCCTGGGGCTTGGATTTCACAGGATGGGGATGGGGAGAGCAGAGAAGAAAGGCAGAGGGGAGCCCAGCAGGTCAGTGAGCTCCCATGCCTGGAATCCCAGCACTTTGGGAGGCCAAGGCCAGGTGGATCATGAGGTCAGGAGATCGAGACTATTCTGGCTAACATAGTGAAAGCCCCTCTCTACTAAAAATACAAAATTAGCTGGGCGTGGTGGTGCGCACCTATACTCCCAGCTACTGGGGAGGCTGAGGCAGGAGAATTGCTTAAACCTGGGAGTCGGAGGTTGCAGTGAGCCAAGATTGAGCCACTGCATGTGCCTGGCCACCGGCTTCCCCAAGGCAGTGCCGTGAAGTAAGGCAGCCACCAGATGTGCATGGTGCCTGATGGGCACCCCCAGCCCTGCCCCTACCAGCCAGTGGGTGCCAGCATACCCCAGCCATCCCAGTACCAGGCAGGTGAGAGGCTGTTCCAGCTGAGGGCCCATTCTGAGGATCCTCTGTACCTCCCTGGAAGCTGTATGAATGGAGAGAATCTTCCTCACATCACTTTTTTGCTTTCTTTTTTTTTTCTTCTCTTGATACGGAGTCTCCCAAGGTTGCCTAGGCTGGAGTGCAGTGGTGCGATCTTGGTTCATGCAACCTCCACGTCCTGGGTTCAAGCGATTCTCCTGCCTCAGCCTCCTGAGTACTCGGGATTACAGGTGCCCACCACCACACCCAGTTTTTTTTTGAGATAGAGTCTTGATCTGTCTCCAGGGTGGAGTGCAGTGGTATAGTCTTGGCTCACTGCAACCTCTACCTTCCAGGTTCAAGTGATTCTCCTGCCTCAGCCTCCCAAGTAGCTGAGACTACAAGTATGCAACACCATGCCCAGCTAATCTTTGTGTTTTTAACAGAGACAGGGTTTCACCCATGTTGGCCAAAATGGTCTCTAACTCCTGACATTGCGATCTGCCTGCCTCGGCCTCCCGAAAAGCTGGGATTACAGGTGTGAGCCACCGAGGCTGGCCATCACACCTTTTTCAGACAACAATCCTCAGAGATTCTGAACACCCAGGCAGAGGCCCACGGGAGTCCATGAACCCCTCCTCAAAATGAGGGGCACATGTTTGTGGGCACATATTCTGTGAGTCCCATGAGGTTTCTCAAGTGGGTCTTTGACCAAAGGAGGTTAAGGACCTTGAACCTCCATGTCTGTCCCAGGTAGGGGTCAGGATTTGAGCTTTGTCAGTGGGACTCCCAGGCTATCCCAATGAGTGGAATCACAGGCTCTGAGGGGGTTTTTCTGCAGGGAAGGCTTTCCTGCAAACTGGAAGGTAGGTCTTGGGGACCCCTGAGTCCCTGGGTTTAATCCCCATGCCCACCTCTGGGGTGTGTTGGCCCGGGAGGCCTACCTGGCTACTCACCCACCCACAACTGGGTCCTGGGCTGCGCTGGACCCTGGGTTTCAGCCCCAGCCCCTCCCACCTCCATCTCCCTTCCGGAGTCCCCCACAACCTCCACAACAGGCCAAGTATACTCTGGACTCTGGAGACCTTGGGCAGCTCAGCTCAACCCTGGTTTTAGCAGCAGGGGCGGCAAGAGCACACCTGAGCTGAGGCTGAAGGTGAGGGTAGTTTTCTAGGCCGTTGCCAGGGCGATGCCACCTGAGCTGGGCGCCAGGCACCTGTCGTCCGGGGAACAGTGCGGGCGGGGCCCTTCCCCCGGGAGCTAGCAGGGCCAGTGGGCTGAGACGGAGGATGGATCAGATTCCAGAGAGTCCCGGGTAGGCGGGGGTGGGCGATACTGGGGAGCTGGGGCATGTTTGCATCACGAAACTGGGCCGGGGGAGAGCAGAGTCGGCCGGGGAGGGGCTGCGAGAGGATAAGGCTCAGGAAGGCAGGCCGAAGCCCCTGCATGCGTTTCTGTCCTGAGCCTGTTAGTTTTTTGACCCCCACTTCCTTTCTTCTTTAGCTGGTCCTCCGTCTTCCCCTCCTTTGCCCTTGGTTCCCACGTGCCTGGATGCTACGCATGCTCTTCCTCCCCTGTCCACTCTCAGCCACAGCATCCCCTGCTGACCCCAAGGCCACTCATCCACCCACCGCCTACCAGCTCCCAGCCCCGCACCCTCCCTGTGGCTCAGGTCTCCCTCGTCGAGGCCTCCCTGCACTTCACTCTGCTCCTCCCCTGCCTGGGCCTTAAAACCCCGCCTGCAGCCGGCAGCCGGCAGAGTCCCCAGGTGGCACCGGCAGAGGCTGAATCGCTCAGTGGAAACCTGCGCCAGCCCGGAGGGTACGAGGCTGTCCTCAGCGTGGCGGTGCGTCTGGAGGGCCCGTGTGAGCTCGGCCCAGGCGTGACTGCAGGGTGGTAAGAGCAGCAGCACCCTCAGGGCATCTGATGGGCAACGGCCCCTCGAGGTGACACCCACCACTCAGCTGATCGGGGCCTGGAGTCTGCTTTGTGCTCTGCGAGGATCAGAGACACCTGCAAGAGGCACGGAGAGGAGACGCCATTCAAGAGGCTCCTGGAGCTGAGGACTGGCCTGGCCTGGGGACACCAACCAGGCCCCCCTTCTGCTGGGCACGAAGACCCCCCACCCAGCACACCTGACACACCTGCTGAGTCACCCAGGCCGTCTGGGGCTGAGAAGACCTAACGAAGGGGCCAGATGGCTTCCGCTGGCTTAGAACTGTTGGGCATGACCCTGGCTGTGCTGGGCTGGCTGGGAACGCTGGTGACCTGCGCCCTGCCCCTGTGGAAGGTGACCGCCTTCATCGGCAACAGCATCGTGGTGGCCCAGGTGGTGTGGGAGGGGCTGTGGATGTCCTGCGTGGTGCAGAGCACAGGCCAGATGCAGTGCAAAGTGTACGACTCGCTGCTGGCGCTGCCGCAGGACCTGCAGGCCGCTCGAGCCCTCTGTGTCGTGGCCCTCCTGCTGGCCCTGCTTGGCCTCCTGGTGGCCATCACAGGTGCCCAATGTACCACCTGCGTGGAGGACGAAGGCGCCAAGGCCCGCATCGTGCTCACCGCGGGGGTCATCCTCCTCCTCGCTGGCATCCTGGTGCTCATCCCCGTGTGCTGGACGGCGCATGCCATCATCCAGGACTTCTACAACCCCCTGGTGGCTGAGGCCCTCAAGCGGGAGCTGGGGGCCTCCCTCTACGTGGGCTGGGCGGCGGCCGCACTGCTTATGCTGGGCGGGGGGCTCCTCTGCTGCACATGCCCCCCGCCCCAGGTCGAGCGGCCCCAGGGACCTAGGCTGGGCTACTCCATCCCCTCCCGCTCAGGCGCGTCCGGACTGGACAAGAGGGACTACGTGTGAGGCGGAGGGTTCCCCCTCAGAGCCTGCTGCTCCCCATTGCCCTGCACCTTCCACCTTGACCATAGGCCCTGCTCCACTACAAGCCCCTACCCCAGGAAAACACACTTTCCAAAAGCCCAAGCTACGCCTGGCTGCAGGGCTGGGTCTGCTGGCCTGGCTGAGCTCTTCTCAGTGGGGTTCCCTTTGATGTTCTCCCCCGAGCTGGGCAGCCCAGACGTGTTGGGCACCCTGGCCTGCCCCCGCCTCCCCAGTAATTGTTTCCTTCCATTGCCCAGGACACTGGCTGGTCTTCCTTCTCTTCTGAGCCCGCCCTTGCCCCAGGAACCCTGGCTTCACCAAAAGGGCAGCAGCTCCTTGGCTCCAAAACCAAGCAGCTGACTGTGCCCTCCCAACCCTGGAGTTGGCATGGAGAGTCTGCCCAACACCTCCCCCTCCTTGACATCGCCACCCAAGATTGGGAATAAAGAGAACATTTGTAACTGGGCTCCCTCTGATCTGTTCACCGCCACCGGGGCTGGGCAGGGACAGCCAGGTGGCCTCCCTTGGTGGCTGTCAGGCCAAGGTCTGGCTCCAGGTTCTGCCTGGGTTTGCTCACTCAAACCACGGGCAGAGGGCAGAGGGGAGCGTAACTCACTTTTGTCCACCTCTCCCCCTAGCCAGGCTGGGCACTCAGTAATCCCATGCAACACCAAACACACCAATAAAACATGCTTTATTTGGTAAAAACATGAGTATAAGCAGGGCAGGATGGGCAGGGCAGAAGGGTACAGTACTGGAGGTGGCAGTGGGGGGGTCTACACAGCTGGGACCTTTGGAGGTGTGGACATCCTATCAGGACAGAGAAGGTCCAAAGTTCTGGAGGAGGGCAGTCCTTTGTTAACAGATCACTTGCTTTCCCAGAGGTGAAGAGAGGGGCTCCAGAGGCCTGAGTAGGATGGAGGGGTGGCTGTCCTGGCAAGTCTAGGGAAGCCCAGCTCCCAGCAGCAGCAGGAACTCTTGAGGACAGTCTGTCTTGTCCCAAAGGCCAGCACAGCAAGCAGCCTCCACATTAGTTCCACAGCTCGACTGGCTTCTAAGATGGGCATCTCTATGGTGGAGAAAGATCCAGAATCTCAAAGCATCCCCTCTTTGGCTCCGTCATCCCAAGGTGAGAAACAGCAGATCCCAGGTGGGAGTCTGAGTCACCTTCTTGGTTGTCTTCAACGGATTTTAAATACCCTCAGTCAAAAGGACAGCAGTAGGAGGAGGCAGAAACAAAAGATCCCAAAGCTGTTGGGCACCACCACCTCTGGATGGCTCTAGCACTGGTGGAGCCCCCATTCCCTTCCACGTCAGACGTAATTCTTGGTAGGGTACTCAGAGGGCCCCCGAGAGACGGCAGGGGCTGATGGCGAGTAGCGGGCCATGTAATGGCTGGGGCCCCGGGATCTCCCCGAGGGGCACGTGCAGCACAGCAGCCCCCCACCCAGAAACAAAAGGGCTGAGGCTGCCCAGCCCAGGTAGAGGGAGGCCCCCAGCTCCCGCTTTTGGGCCTCAGCCACCAGGGGGTTGTAGAAGTCCCGGATGATGGCGTGCGCCGTCCAGCACACGGGGATTAGCGTCAAGATCCCTGAGATGACAAAGACAATCCCAGAGATGAGCACTAGGCGGGCCTTGGAATCCTTGTCCTCCACACAGGTGGTACACTTGGCCCCAGCAAGGTAGACCAGCAAGCCAAGCAGGGCCAGCAGGAGGGCGATGACACAGAGGGCTCGAGCGGCCTGCAGGTCCTGCGGCAGCGCCAGCAGCGAGTCGTACACTTTGCACTGCATCTGGCCTGTGCTCTGCACCACGCAGGACATCCACAGCCCCTCCCACACCACCTGGGCCACCACGATGCTGTTGCCGATGAAGGCGGTCACCTTCCACATAGGCAGGGCGCAGGACACCAGGCCATTCACCCAGCCCAGCATCGTCAGGATGACTCCCAGGATCTGCATTCCGGCAGAGGCCATGGTGAGGGTGAACGAGCTGCACTGTAGTGGGGACAGAAGCACAGCAAGGTGAGGCCTGGAGGGCCCAGACCTCAGGCCACATGCGGACAGGACACCAGGGGCATGCGCCCTGGAAAGTGGTCATCATATCCCGCACCTCAGTGGAGACACGCTCCCAGAGCCTCACTTCTCATGGGCAAAATGAGCACTTAATGCTTTAGTACTTATTTTTCTTTCTAGTTATGTGACAGGCACCAGCGCAAGACAGCGAATGTGCAGGCAGCCCTGCCCTGGCCACTCTGAGTGTAAATGAAAGATGACAGGGTGAAACCTATGCAATGCCAGTCCAGGGCCAGAGCCAGGGATCAGGCTGCAAGGCGGCAAAAGCAGGATGAGAAGACGTTGCTATTTCCAGGCAGTTTCCGTGTGGAATGGTTCGGTTCTAGCCCCGAGTTTAAGGTGCAGTATTTGTCTGTTTCTTTTTGTTTGAGACGGAGTCTTGCTCTGTGACCCAGGCTGGAGTGCAGTAGTGCAATCTTACCTCACCACACTGCAACCTCTGCCTCCCTCCAGCCTCAGCCTCCCAAGTACCTGAGATTATGGACGCGCACCACCATGCCTGGCTAATTTTTGTATTTTTAGTAGAGTCGGGGTTTCACCATGTTGACCAGGCTGGGCTCGAACTTCTGACCTCAGGTGATTAGACCGCCTTCACCTCCCAAAGTGCTGGGATTACAGGTGTGAGCCACCGTGCTCAACTGAAACTTGTTAGTTTTGACACTAAGATTGGCGATTCCAAGCTTCCTCCCACCACCCAATGTCTCTCATAACTTGATCCCACCCTCCAGGCTGGCAGACACCAGCTGGATCTTGGGATCTTGTATCTCAGACCCCGCCTTCCCACACCCTACAGGAGCCACCTGAGCCTGGAGATTAGTCAAGCTCCTCACATCTGGAGGCCCAGCCAAACCTGGGAGCAGCAGGAGAGTTGAAGAAAAAGATCATTAACTCCCCACCCAAAAGAAGCAGTTCCTTCCCCAAAGCCACTCGCTGACTCTCTCGTCCCACCCTCTGATCTCACCTAGGAGAGTGTAGCCTGAAGGCTGAGGGCCTTTTCCAAATTCCTAAATGCGGTGCTAGATTCCCCTCCAGACCAGTTCTCCCACCGACACCTGGCCTGCACCTGAGTCCTATCACATCCCAGCAGTGTTGGAGGCCGTCGAGGGGATCACCTCTGCCTAGGGCTTGGCTGTGGCCTCCCACTGCCCAGAGTTCTTACGTTCTACGGCACGGAGCTAAACTTATCCCTGCCTGCAGTGGCCGGAGGGCAGGCTCTCTACTCATTAGCCGGGGGCCCCAGGCCTGGGCGGAGCTGGCCACTTTGGGAAGACTGACCCGGGGAGGCTGCCCGGTCCAGGCACTAGGCCTCTGGCAGAGTTAGGGCCAGGGCCACGCTGGTCTAGGCGCTCCAGTCCTCTGCCCTCTGAGTGCGTCCCTGCCCCTTTCTTTTCCAGGCACTGCAGGCCCTACTCCGTCTGAGGGCTCCCCCGCCCACCCGCCCAACCCAGCCAGGGAGCTGTGCGCCCAGGAGGGGTTCGATAGCTGCAGTGGCCGCAAGGTCCGCTCTCGCAGGTGAGCGGGAAGGGGGCGAGGGGCGCCCCGCCCCGAGAGGCAAGGCAGGTGGGGGAGGGCGCCCGGGGTTTCGGTGTCTTTTGTCCCTGGGGAAGGGGGAGGGGCGTTTAACCCTTGGGAGCCGCCGAAGGACCCGACCGCCGCCGAGGCTTGGGAGCAGACCGCCCCGACCCCCTCAGGGATTCGCCCATCCAGGTGGCTGCAGCCGGAGTTCGAAGGCACCCCTACCCACGCCGCCACCACCCTGCACCCGACCCCAAGAGGCGTGTCTCCAACGCGCACACTTGCCCCGGACTCACCTGCGAAAGGGGTAAGAGAAATTCCTAAGCCGAGTGTCGGGAAAGGGGCGGAGGCGGGGGGTCTTAAAGACGCGGTGACGTCACTGGACCACCGCCCCGGAGGAGGGGCAGAGACCCTGTCCCAGACGCGAGCGGGCGTGCGAATCCCAGCCTCGTCAGAGGAGGGCGCCGGAGGCTGGGGTCGCTGCGCCAGGCAGGTGGACGTCCAGACTCACCGAGGGTGACGGGCGCCGGCCGGGCTTAGGAGAGAACAGAGCTTGAGTCTCCACTGCAGCGCTTATACCGCGCGGCGACGTGGGGAACTCACCTAACCTTCCCGATCCTTCGTTTCCTACCTCGCAAAGTGGAGGTAACAAGTCTGCATTTTATTATGTAACTACTTCCTAAGGTACAAATTAAAGGGCACACTATTAGGATTATTTTAGAGAAAATAAATATTTTCACTGTGTCAGTGAAGTGACACGGTGACTCCAGGCTGGAGTGCAGTGGTGCGATCACAGCTCACTGCAGCCTCAACCTCCCGGGCTGACGCGATCCTCCGGCCTCAACCTACTGAGTAGGTGGGATTACAGGCGGCCCGCCCCACCGCGCCTACCTAATTTATGTTTTGTACAGACAGGTTACATTGCCCAGGCTGGTCTCGAACTCGGGGACTCAATCGATCTGACCTTCTTGGCCTCGCACTGCGCTGGGATTACCGGCTTGAGCCACCGCACCTGGCTAGAGCACATTATTTTTATGTTTTTTGTTTGTTTGTTTTGAGACGGAGTCCTGCTCCGTTGCCCAGTCTGGAGTGCAATGGCACAGTCTCCGCTCCCCACAACCTCAGTCTCCGGGGTTCCAGCAATTCTCCCGCCTCAGCCTCCCGAGTAGCTAGGATTACAGGCACCCAACACCAGGCACGGCTAAATTTTGGAATTTTAGTAGAGACAGGGTTTCACTCATCTTGGCCGGGTTGGTCTTGAACTCCTGACCTCATGATCCACCTGCCTCCGCCTCCCAAAGTGCTGTGATTAGAGGCGTCAGCCACCGTGCCAGCCCTATTTTTATGTTGTTACTGTTAAAACCCTCAGGCCCTTAAGAAAGCTGCAGTGCCCAGTCCAACCTGGGCAATATAGTGAAACCCCGGTCTCTACAAAAAATGAAAAAATGGCCAGGCGCGGTCCTAGCCCTTTGGGAGGCCGAGGCGGGCGGGTCACCTGACGTCAGGAGTTAGAAACCAGACAGAACAACATGGAGAAATCCCGTCTCTACTACAAATACAAAATTAGCCTGGTAGTGAGTGCCTGTAATCCCAGCTGCTCCGGAGGCTGAGGCAGGAAAATCGCTAGAACCGGGAGGCAAAGTCTGCGGTGAGCCGAGGTCGTGCCATTGCTCTCCAGCCTGGGCAACGAGAGCAGAAACTGTCTCAAAAAAAAAAAAAAAAAAAAAATTAGCCGGGCGTGATGGCGCGTGCCTGTGGTCCCAGCTACTGGGGAGGCTGAGGTGGGAGACTCACCTGAGCCCAGAGAGCCGAGATTGCGCCACTGCACTCCAGGTTGAGCAAGAGTGAGATGCAATCTCAGGAGGTGTGGGGTGGGGGGTGGGAAGGAAGCTGCAGTGATCTCTGCAGGAATTAATTGTTCGTGTCTGATTCTTTTTTTTTTTTTTTTTTTTTTTTGTGGGGGGACGGAGTTTTGCTGTGTCGCTCAGGCTGGATGGAGTGCAGTGGAGCGATTTCGGCTCACTACAACCTCCGCCTCCCGGGTTCAAGCGATTCTTCCACCACAGCCTCCCGAGTAGTTGGGATTACAGGCGCGCGCCACCATGCCTGGCTAATTTTTGTGTTTTTAGTAGACATGGGGTTTCATTATGTTGGTCAGGCTGGTCTGGAACTCCTGACCTTGTGATCGGCCCGCCTCAGCCTCCCAAAGTGCTGGGATTACAGGCGTGAGCCACCGCGCCCGGCCGTTCTTGTCTGATTTCTGTTATGTGCTGCGGAAGGAAGCACTCGGGTCTGATTTCTGATTTCCCTACCCGACGCGCCCCGGACTAGACCACCGGCGGGGCAAAGGAGGGGTCTATGTCCCTGCCAGGTCCTGGCAGCTCCCGCGCCAGGACTTTGTTGAATGAATGAATGAACCGAGCGGGCCCTGCGTCCCGGAGCGGACCTCAAGGCTGGCGGAGGCGAGAGCTCCGCCCCGGAAGGCGGGGGCGGGGGCGGGGCAGCGGCCATGGGTCTTGCCGGCCCGCGGCGGGCGCAGACAGCCGCGGGCGCGGGACGTGCACCATGGCTCGGGGCTCGCTGCGCCCGTTGCTGCTGTTCCTCGTGCTGGGGCTCCGGCTGGCGTTGCTGCGCGCCGTGGCCGGAGAGTGGGCGCCAGGTACGCAGGGTGCGGGGAGCGGGGAACCCTGGGCCGGGGCTCTGGAGCCCAGATTGGGTGCCCGGAGGACAGCGAGGAACTGGGGGAACAGGCGGATGTGGGGATCTGGGGTCAGGTGGGCTTCAGACAGCGCGCTTCCCGCTGTGGGAGCTTCCATCACTTTCCAAGCTTCATTGAGAATCCGGGCCTCAGTTTCTCCCACTGTTCAGTTGGGGTTGGGGGAGAGGGATCTTCGGTTCCGAAAGTTCGAACTAGAAGTGGAGACAGAAAGTAAGTTTTGAGGGCGGGATGTTTAGTCTAGGAAGCGGCACGCCCCCACCCCGGTCTGTACGGGTTCTAACTAGCCCCAGTGACCGATGAGTTGGGGGGGCTGTCGAGAGGCACTAGGGTCTGTGCCCTCTATACCATGTGGGGTGCCCCCTTCTATCCGGTGACTTCAGTGCCCAGCTATGCGGGGGGAGGGACCGGGGTCGGGCCCGGTGCCCAGGAGTGAGTCACCCGCCGGCGGCAGGGGGGTTATGGGGACCTGACACCCCCACACCCAGCGTCCCGCGCTACGCCCTCCCTCCCGGAGCTGCCGTGTCCCGGTCGGGCCGTGCGGTCACCTGTGAGGAATGTGCGGGGAGGGCGCCAGTGACTCACGTTATTCGAGCCGGCCGACCCTGACCTCAGGCCCCAGAATAGCCGAGTCCCGCCCCCAGCCTCTGACCCTCGGCCCCCTCCCCAGACACCGCCCCCTGCTCCCGCGGCAGTTCCTGGAGCGCGGACCTGGACAAGTGCATGGACTGCGCGTCGTGCCGGGCGCGACCGCACAGCGACTTCTGCCTGGGCTGTGAGTGGGGCGCGGGGCCAGTGGCGATCGGATCCCAGACTGGGAGAAAGGGTGGCTGGTGCGGAGATGGGGGCCGAGGGCTTCGCATCTGGGAAATCAATCAGGGGAAGGTGGGAGTGGGGAGGGGTCTCAGGTCAGGGAGGGGGCGCCACGGCTGGGAGAAGGCTGAAGGCTCAGTCCTAGGGGGCTGGTCTGGAGAGGGGCGAGGTCTGACTCCAAGTGCGCCCCCAGGCGCTGCGACACCTCCGACCCCCTTCCGGCTGCTTTGGCCCATCCTGGGGGGCGCTCTGAGTCTGACCTTCGTGCTGGGGCTGCTTTCTGGCTTCCTGGTCTGGAGACGATGCCGCAGGAGAGAGAAGTTCACCAGTAAGTGGGCCCCGGCCTCCCCAGCCGCGTCATCACTCGACCTTTCCCCTGCCCTTGACGACCCCACCTCTTATCTTGCAGCCCCCATAGAGGAGACCGGTGGAGATGGCTGCCCGGCCGTGGCCCTGATCCAGTGACAGTGCGCCCCCTGCCAACCGGGGCTCGCCTACTCATCATTCATTCATCCATCTAGAGCCAGTCTCTGCCTCCCAGACGTGGCAGTAGCCACTCCAGCCACAGGGGGGTGGGGGGTGGTGAATCACCTCTGAGGCCTGGGCTCCTGCAGGGTTCAGGGGAGCCTTCCAAGGTGTCTGGTTGCCCTGCTTCTGGCCTCAGAACAGAAAGGGAGCCTTAAGCTGGCTCACACAAACAGCTGACACTGACTAAGGAACTGCAGCATTTGCACAAGGAGGTATCCTCCTCCCTAGAGGCCCTGGGGGCTAGGCTGACTTGGGGGACAGACACTAGGCCCCACTCACTCAGACGTCCTGAAATTTCACCACAGGGGTCACCAGCCTGGGGGGTTAGGGACCTATTTTTAACACTAGGGGGCTGGCCCACTAGGAGGGCTGGCCCTAAGATACAGACCCCCCCAACTCCCTAAAGAGGGGAGGAGATATTTATTTTGGGGAGAGTTCGGAGGGGAGGGAGAATTTATTAATAAAGGAATCTTTAACTTTAAATGGTTTGGAGAGGCTGTGATCCCCGACTGACTACCCTGAGCTGGAGGGAGGGAGTGAGTCAGCCAGCCACGGGGGCGGGGGTGAGGCTCTGACTCACACATTCTCAATGCCTGGAACTCAGCCGGCCAGGACCTGGCTGGCCCTAACAGTTTTCCAGGGAAGATCTTGAGAAGAAACCCCAGCATCCTGCGCCTCTGCCCTCTCCACCACCCCCAAAAGCCCCAGGTTCCAGATGGAAGCCTTTCTTTGCTCAGCGATCTTTATTCAGGTCTTCTTGGGGGTGGGATGCCGCCCTTCCCATGCTCCCACCCCTCTCATCCCAGAGCTCCATTGGGCTCAGTGTCCTCTGTTGAGGGAAGGTCTTGGTGCCCAGATGCCTGGTCTGGAGGAGAGGGAGGCTCCTTGTCCCTTTGCGGGAGTCGCTGGTCTCTTCTGTTGTGGGGAAGAAGGAAGGTGGGAGGGGCGCTGTCCACTAGCACTCAGAGCTCCATTATGTCCCCAGCCGGGGTTGCAGGGTAGGAGGGACTGGGGGTGTCCCCCAGCCTCAGCAGCCGGAGGGCTTCAGGGATGAGGCTGCCAGGGTATCGCCAGAGAAGCAGCTCAGAGCAAGAGCTCCTAGAAGAGGAAATGATAGTCGGCATGGGGGCTGAGGCTGGCCTAGCTGAGCACCTCCCACCAGGTCCAGGTCCCCAAGGGCTCCTGGGTTCTCAGCACTTTCCAAAGAGCCAAGATGGGAAACAACCCAGAGGTCAGCTAGAGCTAAAAATGGCACGATGAGGCAGGGCCTGAGGTCAGCTCTGAGGACCGCCTGTGATCCTGCAGAAGGCCTGGCCAGTGGAGGCGCCTACCTGAGTGGGGGCAGGGCCGGGGGGAAGGCCATAGGGGGGCTGCAGTAGGGGTGGTCATTGTGCAGGCTGAGTTGAGAGAAATGGGTGGCCATGTTCTCCTCAGACAGAAACTGCTTGCGCAGAGGCTCCCTGGGGAGAGATGAGAGACAGGGAAGCTGGGATACTGAGGCAGGTGGCAGCGTGTTGGGGACCAGAGGTGACAGAGATCTTGTTGGGAGTCCCTCCCTGCCCCCAAACTCACTGCTCCTCCTCCAGGCGCCGCTTGGTGCTCAGGGGCACAGCTCCTCGGAGAGGGGAGCTGGGAAAAAAAGACAGCCTGGTGCACCCCACCCTCTTGGCCCCTTCCCAAGGATCTGCCCGCCTGAGCCTGCAGCATCAGCCAGGAGCCCCAAGCCCATTCCTGTCTCAGGTGGTGCCTGTCCCCTCTCTCCTGGGCCATCCAGCAGCGTACCTCGAAGTCTCGACCCTGAGCCTTAGACCCAATCTGGTCTCAGCTCACATCTAAGCCCGGCCGATTCGCCCAACACCGTGTCCATCCTGCAGACCAGCCCTGAGCACCCAGCCAAAGCTCCTGCGGCCCTTGGTCAGGCCCACCCTGGTCCCCTACACGCACCTGGCTTCCAGGCCGCGAGTCACCCCCAAGGCGGCCCGCGGGAGGCGCTGGGCCCCACCCTGGGGGCCTCGCTCCAAGGGCTGCTGCAGAATCATTGGGTTTTGGGGTCCTGCGGGTGGGATCTGGGCGACGGGGGCGGAGTCTCTGAGGGCGTGGCCCAACGCGAAGGGGTGTGGCTTTAGGCGTGCGCAGCGGCGAGGTTCTGCGCGGGCGCGGAAGACGGGTGGCGCGTGGCGGAAGGCGGGCCTGTTTCTCGGGGTGGGGGAAGGTATCTGGCTTAGCGGAACTGCGGTGGGCGCCACTTCTTAGTGTCGGGGGTTTTCGTGGCGCTCACCTCGGCTCCTGGGGTTCTTCAGTACAGTACGCAGCAGCCACCTTCGCGCCGAGCGCCCCGAGGAGGAACCGCTCTAGGCACGTACGGCTTCGTGAGTGAGGTTGCGTCGCGCGCGGAGCGCTCTGGGACTTGTAGTTCTGGAGATGGAGCGAGCTCTGCCGCTCGTGGTGCCTCTGGGTCAGGTGAGACGGACGTGGTGCGCGGTTCCTTCTGGGGTTTGTAGTCCATGCATGACTTGGACTGGGCGGGCAGGGTATCGTGCCCGGAGCCTTGTTTTGCTTGGGCTGTTTGTGGGACTCAAGACTATGACCGGGGGTGGGGAGCGGGAAAGTAACCAATAAGGCCTCAGGGGCTTAACGCAAGTCAGAATAGGGATTACAAGTCAGTACATTTTTCTATTTGGGGATAGTAGAGCCACTTTTTTTTTTTTTTTTAATTTCCTAGCTAGTTGTCTCAAGCAGAGCCACTTTTTTTTTTTTTTTTTTTTTTTTTTTTAAGATGGGGTTTCACCATGATGGCTAGACTGGTCTTGAACTCCTGACCTCAGGTGATCCACCCACCTCGGCCTCCCAAGGTGCTAGGATTACAGGCGTGAGCCACCGCGCCCGGCCGAGCCGAGCCACTTTTTCAACACTTTTTTTTGAGACGGAGTCTCTGTCGCCCAGGCTGGGGTGCAATGGCGCAATCTCGGCTCACTGCAACCTCTGCCTCCCAGATTCAAGCGATTCTCCTGCCTCAGCCTACAGAGTAGCTGGGACTACAGGCATGTCCCACCATGGCCAGCTAATTTTTGTGTTTTTAGTAGAGACAGGATTTCAGCATGTTGGCCAGGCTGGTCTCAAACTCCTGACCTCAGGTAATCCACTCGTCTTGGCCTCCCAAAGTGCTGGGATTATACATGTGAGCCACCGTGCCTGGCCAAATTTTTGATTTTTTTTGTAGAGATGGAGTCTCACTACGTTTCCCAGGCTGCTCTCGAACTCCTGGCGTCAAGCGATCCTCCCGCCTCAGCCTCCCAGATCGCTGGGATTGCAGGCTTGAGCCATGGCACCTGGATTAAGCACTGAGTGACAGCCCTGTGCAAAGCTCTGTCTATATACTAGCTCATCTAATGGTGACAGAATCTTCTGTGAGCTCCATTTGACAGTTGAGGAACTGGTAGGAGAGGCTTGGGTGCTTGCTCAGAGGTTCATGAGGCATCACACCTCAACTCTCCCCTTCCTCAGTGTCTTCTTGGAGCCACCCATGGGACTGCATGGGCAGGTGCTAGCTGCTGCAAAAGAGGTCAGAGAAGTCAGGACAGTGGGAGGCCTGGCAGGTGTCGGGGGAAGCAGGGAGGAGTCTGTGGATGGGAGGTTTCAGATGTCCCAGGCAGGCCTCATCCAGTCTTTCCTTGCAGGCAGAGGTGTTCCAGGCCTTGCAGCGGCTCCATATGACCATATTCTCCCAAAGCGTCTCACCATGTGGGAAGTTTCTGGCGGCTGGCAACAATTATGGGCAGATCGCCATCTTTAGGTACCCTCTGCTGATGTCCACCCATTAGCCCTGGCACTTGGTCTTCATGGGACGGATGCCCTCTGTTTCTGACTTTTGGGTCCCCTCCATTGTCCCCTGCAGCTTGTCTGCTGCTTTGAGCTCGGAAGCCAAAGAGGAAAGTAAGAAGCCAGTGGTGACTTTCCAAGGTGGGTCTAGCAGTGGAGTCTGGCTTCGGGGGTTTGGGTGGGATTGGCTCACTTACTTCTGGATTTCTCTTTAGCCCATGATGGGCCGGTCTACAGCATGGTCTCCACCGATCGACATCTGCTCAGTGCTGGGGATGGGGAGGTGAAGGCCTGGCTTTGGGCGGAGATGCTCAAGAAGGTAAAGAGTCAAGCTGGGGAAAGGGCTGGGGTGCCCAGACCCAAAAAGGGCCTTTGAGGTCACCTCACGTGTTTCCTTTTGAAGGGGTGTAAGGAGCTGTGGTGTCGTCAGCCTCCATACAGGTGAGCCAGGGCCACGTGGATACAGGGCGCATGAGGGTGAAGGAACTCCCTCACTGACCCTGACCTTCCTCCCCCAGGACCAGCCTGGAAGTGCCTGAGATCAATGCTTTGCTGCTGGTCCCCAAGGTCTGAGCCCCGTGTGACTATTCCTGGCCCAAACTTTGATCCTTCACTCTCTGCCTTTCCTGATTGGACACTGACTTCCTGCCTCACCCTGCCCCTGCACAGGAGAATTCCCTCATCCTGGCTGGGGGAGACTGTCAGTTACACACTATGGACCTTGAAACTGGGACCTTCACGGTGAGCAGGGGCTTGGAGCCCTAGAGCAGGTCCAGGCCAGGGAGAGGCACTCTTCCTAGACCTCCTGACATTGCCCCTCTACCTGCAGCGGGTCCTCCGGGGCCACACAGACTACATCCATTGCCTGGCATTGAGGGAAAGGAGCCCGGAGGTGCTGTCAGGTGGCGAGGATGGAGCTGTTCGACTTTGGGGTAAGGAGGTGGCTGGTTGGAGAGCAAGATGGCAGTGAGGGAGGCTGAGGCTCGTCGGGCACTACTCAGGGTGGGTTCTTGCCCTGCAGACTTGCGCACAGCCAAGGAGGTCCAGACAATCGAGGTCTATAAGCACGAGGTGAGGGCGTGACTGTGGCCATTGTCCTCTTTGCCAGCAACTCCTTTAACCCTCCAGGACTTCACCTCTTTCCCTCCTTCCCTCCCCCTCCCAGGAGTGCTCCAGGCCCCACAATGGGCGCTGGATCGGATGTTTGGCAACTGATTCCGACTGGATGGTGAGCAGGGCAGACTGTGGGACAGGTTGGCAGCTTCGGGCCCTGTCAGCTGTGGGCCTGTAGCTCACAGCTGGGGACGCCCACCTTTCTGTCCAGGTCTGTGGAGGGGGCCCAGCCCTCACCCTCTGGCACCTCCGATCCTCCACACCCACCACCGTCTTCCCCATGCGCGCGCCACAGAAGCACGTCACCTTCTACCAGGACCTGGTGAGTCCCTCTGTCTTGTCTGCCACCCCCACAGGCTCTCCCCTCCAGCCCTGACCCCTGAGCACCTTCCTTGTCCCCTGCAGATTCTGTCTGCTGGCCAGGGCCACTGTGTCAACCAGTGGCAGCTGAGTGGGGAGCTGAAGGCCCAGGTGCCTGGCTCCTCCCCAGGGCTGCTCAGCCTCAGCCTCAACCAGCAGCCAACCGCGCCCGAGTGCAAGGTGGGTCCGACAGGGGCCTCGGGCAGCTGACGGGTGGGGGAATGGGCAGGCCAATCATGCCCCTTTCTCTTCCAGGTCCTGACAGCTGCAGGCAACAGCTGCCGGGTGGATGTCTTCACCAACCTGGGCTACCGAGCCTTCTCCCTATCCTTCTGACCTCTGACCACACCCCCAGCCAGCAAGATTTTAGAGTGTTTTTCTTTTCTTTTTTTTTTTAACAATAAAGTTTCAGGCTTTTTTCCATGCTCGCTCTTTCCACGAATGGAGGCCAAATCAGTGGCGCGATTTATGTATTACTCTCTCCGATCTTGATACATAAATACCCAGCCCCATCCCTGCCCTAGAAATACCCAGTAAATCCCAGCCCTGGAAAGACCTATATTGATTCAGAAAATCGACCGCTCTGTTCACCTGCCCCTGCCACCCACCTGGAGTTCCTGCCCCACAAAGCTGGCTCCACTCCCGATGAGCCCCTGCCCATCCTCCTGGGGCGGGGAGGGCATCAGCTCCTCTTGGAAGACAATCCGTGCCCTGTCGCTCCACTGGCCAGAAGAGGAAAGTGGGCCCCCAAGTGGGCAAGGGCAGCCCCCTGGGCCCCGCCGTCAGGTCCTTCGGAAGAGGTTGCTGAGAAAGCCGCCGGCGGGCCCGGGGCCCAGGCGCAGCGAGAAGCGGGGCGCGGCGCGGCGCGGGGTCGACGACGACGCGGCGGCGCTCAGCTCCTTCTGGCGCTGCGAGCGCAGCTGTTGCCCGATCACCACCTGCATGTCGTCCTGCGGGAGGCCCCGGACGACTCAGCGCCGGTCCCGCCCCCTGCCCCGCCCCGCACGCAGGCCCCGCCCCTCACCTGCCAGGCCTCCAGCTCCTGCGTGAGCGCCACCTTCTGGCTGATGGCGCGCAGCAGCTCCCGGGACAGGGAGTCTCGCTCCAGAGAGACACGTTTGAGCTCCAGGGACAGCTCCAGGGCCCTAGCGGGGGAGGGGCGGACGACGCATCTGAGGGAGCTGAGACCTCACTCAGGGAGCCAGGGTGACAGTCTGGACCCGGGCAGGAGGGGGGCTGCCAACACCGAGATCCAGGAGGGCCGTGGGCCCCTGGGTGGGGATGAGGGGCTGCCAACACCGAGATCCAGGAGGGCCGTGGGCCCCTGGGTGGGGATGAGGGGCTGCCAACACCGAGATCCAGGAGGGCCGTGGGCCCCTGGGTGGGGATGGGGGGCTGCCAACACCGAGATCCAGGAGGGCCGTGGGCCCCTGGGTGGGGGTGGGGATCATTATAACCAGCATCAGAAGGGAAATCAGGAGCTCAGAGGGGTTCCGGGGGCACTGGGGTGGTGGTGGATGACTTGAGGCTCACTTGTTCACGGCCTCGTCCCGGTCTGAGAGGGCCCTGTTCAGGGCCTCCCCAGGGTCGTCATGCGCCCGCAGCTCCTTCTGTCTCTGCTGCTCTTCCCGCAGGGCCTGCAGCTCTGCCTGCTGCAGCGCGATCTGTGGGCAGAGGAGGGGCCGCGCGGCAGATGGGCCAATGGGCCTTCCAGTCCCCGCTCCTCCCAGCAGCCCCGACTCTGGCTCTCCGCAGCTCTCCTCTGCCTGCTCGACAGACACGCCAGGCAGCTGTGGCCCTGTGCTGGAGACTCCTAGATGAGCCCTCTGAGCCCCTCAGGCTGGTGCGGGGTGGGGTGGAGCAGGGTTACTTGGGGTGCCATAACCCTGCAGAAGGAATGCAGGGAGAAGCGCTAAGGACCTAAGGGGAGAGGTGCTGTCGGGAAGTCTTCCTGGAGGTGGTGGCATACAGGCTGGCTCTTGAAGTAAGTTTGTTGGGATGACGGCCAATTCAGGTGTGGGAAGTAGAAAAGTTCCTTTTTAAAGTTTCCTTTCTTGTTAAAGAATAAGTATGCTAAGGGCCGGGCGCGGTGGCTCAAGCCTGTAATCCCAGCACTTTGGGAGGCCGAGGCAGGTGGATCACGAGATCAAGAGATCGAGACCATCCTGGTCAACAAGGTGAAACCCCGTCTCTACTAAAAATACAAAAAATTAGCTGGGCATGGTGGCGCATGCCTGTAATCCCAGCTACTCAGGAGGCTGAGGCAGGAGAATTGCCTGAACCCAAGGAGGCAGAGGTTGCGGTGAGCCAAGATCACGCCATTGCACTCCAGCCTGGGTAACAAGAGCGAAACTCCATCTCCAAAAAAAAAAAAAAAAAAAAAATAAGTGTGCTAATTCTTTGTTAAGCCCTATCCTATGCAGCTGTTAAACATGCCATGCTTACAGACACATAGTACGTTCAGTGTCCTTACACTTTAACCAAGGTATCTGTGCTAGACGTGCTCACAGGCATGTCCCAGCTCTCCCTTGCTTTTACCTGCTTAGAAAAGTTTTAAGTTGTCAGTCAATCGGGTTTTACTTTAAATTGTGAGGTCTGGCTCCAATCAACGGAGATCAGACAAAGCAGTAAGGACAAAAAATAAAAATAAAATTAAAAAAAAAAAGGCTAGGCGCGGTGGCTCACGCCTGTAATCCTAGCACTTTGGGAGGCCGAGGTGGGTGGATCACCTGAGGTCAGGAGTTCAAGACCAGCCTGGCCATCATGGTGAAACCCCATCTTAAAAAAAAAAAAAAAAGCCGGGCGCGGTGGCTCAAGCCTGTAATCCCAGCACTTTGGGAGGCCGAGGTGGGTGGATCACAAGGTCAAGAGATCGAGACCATCCTGGTCAACATGGTGAAACCCCATCTCTACTAAAAATACAAAACATTAGCTGGGCATTGTGGCACGTGCCTGTAATCCCAGCTACTCAGGAGGCTGAGGCAGGAGAATTGCCTGAACCCAGGAGGCGGAGGTTGCGGTGAGCCGAGATCACGCCATTGCACTCCAGCCTGGGTAACAAGAGTGAAACTCCGTCTCAAAAAAAATAAAATAAAATAAAAATAAAAAAATAAAAATAAAAAAAAAGCAGTAAGGACGACCCCAAATGCATAAGAAATACATTTGTGTGTTTTCTTTGTTCATTGTACTCTTCTGGCACGAGGGCTAACAAGGGTACCCTTCCTGCAGTCCAGGAAGTAAAAATTGCTGTCCTGAAAAGATTCTGTCTCAGTGCTAATTTTTCTTTGCCGCACGGAGCATCTATTTCCAACAAAGGTGTAGGGAGCTCTGTGGGCAAAGGCTGGGAGGCGACATGGGAGACAGAAGCTGACAGCTGGAGGGGTCCTGCGACCAGAACGTGCCCTCTCCCTAACCTCATCTTGCAGCTTGGCCACTTCCGCCTCCTGCTCCTCTAGTATCTCCGCTGGGCTGAGGGATGCTCGCTTCTTGGGGGGCTCTAAGCTCTCCTCTGGGGGTGAAGGCTGGGGCCCGGACGCCTCTAGGGTCTTTGGGGACCGGGTGGTCTGTGGGCCAAAGAAATGGGTTAGTGGTGTGGAGTCTGTTGGAGGAAAGGCGGTGCCTGCGACCCTCGCGATGGCACAGGTAACAGGACTGGTGCCCTATGAGCTCACCGGGGCATCTCCGCGTGCGACAGCGCCCTGGCCGTACTCTTCGAGGCTGTGGGCCAGCTCCGACTGCAGCGAGGCGCTCGACACGTCGGCGTCTTGGAGTCGTGACTCCTCCTCCAGCTCCGAGACTCGCCGCTGCAGCCTCCGCAGCGCGCTCAGCGCCTCCCCGGCCTCGGAGCGTGCGCGTTCCAGCTGAGGACGGTCCCGCAGACGGAAGCGCGGGCGGTCAGCGGGACGCACCCGGCACCGGCATCCCGCGGCAGGTCCACGCTGGGGGGCCGCAGAGGCCCCCGCACCCCAGCGGCCCAGGTTGTTCCCATTCTTGGATCGCTGGGCGCCTCCAGCTGTGCCTTCCCTCGGCTGAGACACCAATTTCCTCGCCTATAAAGCGGGGCCCGCCTCGGAGAGCCCTGTCCCCTCCCCTGCCCAGTCTACCTCCTCACTCACTAATTGCTTTCACGCGGCATTTATCAGTGCGAGGGAGGCTGTTTGCCCCACAGTAGTAAGAAGAGGCCCTGGGATGCGAAGGCAGACAAGCTGACCCCAAAGTGCAGACTCCTGAGACCGCTAACATCAGACCACGTGTCCTCTTCTCATTCCTTTTTCTGTCTAGGGGCTGTCATTCCTGGCCTGAGCTCTGGCATCAGCCCCTTCCCTGGCCCTTCCAGCTGCCAGGCTCTGATGCATTCTAAGAGCATGCCTCCCCTACTCAACGGCCTTCTGTGGCTCCCACTTGCCTACAGGCTAATGCCCATGGTCTTGTGGGCCAGCCTCTGGGCCTCCTAGTGACCCAGCTCTGGCTTCATCTCCCAGAAAGTGCTGAAGCCATTGCCAAGCATCCAGGCAGTCATAGTCCCCCAGCCCTGCAGGTCACCTCCAGGCTGTGCTCCCGCCGCTCCCGCTTCAGCAGCAACAACTCCTCGTGGGTGGTCTGCAGGCGGCCCTGGCCCTTCTCCACCTCCTCACGCAGGCCTCGGATCTGGGCCTCCAGGTCCTGCCGGCGGCTCTGCAGCATCTGGTTCTGGGGAAACATCTCAGAGCTGGGGACGGGGGCCGCCCCCTCCCAGCCCCCCAGCCCAGCTTTTTTGGCTCAGACAATCCCCAAGCCCCAGCTGGCACGCACCTCCCCTTGCAGACTCTCCAGCCGCGTCCTCAGCTCTGCCCCGGCCAGTGCCTGAGCCTGGCACTGTCCCCGAAGGGTGTCCAGTTCCCTCTGAAGCTCCTGCTCAGTCTGGGAGGCCTGGTGAGGTAGATAGGGGGACAGAGGAGCCTCAGCGCCAAGCCCAATGCACCCAACCCCCTCTGGGGACCCAGGCGTCCTCCCCAACCTCGCCCAGGGCCCTGGGGTCAGGGCTGTCCCACCTGGGCCAGCTGCTGGCTGAGGCGGAGGTTCTGCTCACTGAGCTCCCCGAGGGCCCTCGCCCGTTCTCGCCCACTGTCCTGCTGTTCTGAGCGCTGCTCCCCCAGCTGGGCCCGCAGGGCCTCCACGTCTCCCTCCAGCTCCACGGCCCTGGCCTCCCACTCAGCTCCCCGGGCTGCCAGGCCTCGACGGAGCTCATGGTTCTCTTGCTGGAGCCGCTGTGGGGGCCATGAGAGGGGACAGAGACAGAGTAGCACTGATGAGACTGGACAGGCATGGAGAGATGGGGATGGAGAGACAGCTGGGGGGGCCTTGAGTCCAAGACAGACACAAAAGCAAGGGAGAGTGCAGGAGGAAGGGTGAGCAAGACCCAGAAACTCAGAGGGAAGGTTCTGGGCAGATGGGACTTGTGGGCCCCGGGCAAGGTGGCGGTGGGGCTCTCTGATGCCCACTCACCTCCAGCTGCTGCCTGGGCTTCTGGACCCGAGGTCGCAAGCGCCGTTTTTGGCGCCTCAGTCTGGCAGAATTCAAGCCCCGGCCCATCGTGGCACACACCAGCTGTGGCCCACGGGCTCTGGAGCCCGGACTCTGCCCAGGCCCCTCCCCAGCTCCTCCTGGCCAGTTCCCTCTAATTAAGCCTGGTCAGCCCCGCCCTGGTCCAAAACCTGTCTGACCAGCTGAGGGACGCCCTGGCACACCCAGATGCCCAGCGTGGGGAAGCAGATGAGTTGGGGGTTAACCTCTGGCCCACCCTCTTCCACCCTCAAAGCGGGCTGGGCCTACAGGAAGGTGTCAATTGCCCCAGCTGCTGCAGGGACTCAGGTGCCCTGCACCAGGGCTTTAGCTGCATTGCTCCATTTCATCCACTAGAGGGAGAATCACCAACGTCCTGGGTTTACAGATAAAACTGAAGCTCAAAGAGATGCTGAGTGCCTTGGCTAAGGACACACAATCATTTATTTTTGTTTTGTTTGTTTTTTTGAGACAGGTCCTCACTCTTTTGCCCAGGCTGGAGTGCAGTGGCATGATCTCGGCTCCCCGAAATGTCTGCCTCCTGGGTTCAAGACATTCTCCTGCCTCAGCCTCCCAAGTAGCTGAGATTTCTGGCATGGTGTGCCACCTCGCCTGGCAAATGTTTTTGTTTTCTTAGTAGAGACAGAGTTTTACCATGTTGGCCAGGCTGGTCTTGAACTCCTGGCCTCAAGTGACCCACCCTCCTTGGCCTCCCAAAATGCTGGGATTACAGGTGTGAGACACTGTGCCCAGCCAACACACAGTAATTTCGTGAAGCAGAGACGCCAACTCAGGCAGCGAAACTCTTCAACTGAATACTGTGGGGGCAACACAGCCTCAAGATTAAGCTGTCAGGTTCAAGGTCAGATTGTCCTGGCTGATGCTTGGCTCTGCTGATGCCTTGTGGCCTGGACATAATATCTCTAAGTCCATCCACCCACACTACTATCGATCCTACAATATTTTCTGAGCTCCACTTGTTCTGGGGTTAGCTGTTAGCAAGTTCACTGCTTCAAGCAGCTGAGTCCAGAAAGTATGGACACATGCCAGAGTCAGGTAATTTCATGGGGACAGTAAGGGTTGTAAAGAGACTTGGGAAGTGATGAAGAGTAAGGATTGGGGTGGGGGTGGAGAGTCCTTCAAGGAGGATGTTGTGTTTGAGTTGACTTCTGCAGGACAAGGAGCCACCAGAAAGAGGGCCAAGCATTAAGGAGCAGCAGGTGCAAAGCCCAGAGGGAATGAGCATGAGCTCTTGGAGGAAGTGAAAAGAGCCCTTGCTGTTGGGGAGAGGGGGGTGCAGCTGCCCTTCGTGGACGAGGGGAAGAAGGAATGCTTCTGTGATGAGGTGAGAGAGGAGCTCAGCTCTTGGGGACTTTTAGGCCCTGGGGAAGAATTTCCGTTTCATTCTAAGAGTGAGGGGGAGATTCTGGGTGAGGAGTGAAAGGGTCTGATTTGCAGTTTTTGAAGATCGTGGGGTGTCCCTTAGAGCATGGGCTCCAGGAGTCAAGAGTGAAAGCTGGGAGCTGGGCACAGTGGCTCATACCTATAATCCCAGCACTTTGGGAGGTCAAGGCAGGCGGATCATCTGAGGGCAGGAGTTCGAGACCAGCCTGGCCAGCATGGTGAAACCCCGTCTCTACTAAAAATACAAAAATTAGCCAAGTGTGGTGGCACACGCTTGTAATCCCAGCTACTCAGGAGGCTGAGGTGAGAGAATTGCCTGAACCCCCTGAAGTGGGGATTGCAGTGAGCTGAGATTGCACCACTGCACTCTAGCCGGGGTGACGGAGTGAAACTCCATCTAAAAAATAATTTAAAAAAGAGAGAGAGAGAGAAAGAGAGAGAGAGAGGCCAGGTGCAGTTGCTCATGCCAGTAATCCCAGCTGAGGGAGGCTGAGGCGGGCAGATCACGAGGTCAGGAGTTTGAGGACAGCCTGACCAACATGGTGAAACCCTGTCTCTACTAAAAATATAAAAATTAGTTGAGCGTGGTGGCGGGCACCTGTAATCCCAGCTACTCAGGGGGCTGAGGCAGGAGAATCGCTTGAACCAGGAGGTGGAGGTTGTGGTGAGCCAAGACCATGTCACTATTGCACTCCAGCCTGGGCAACAAAGCGAGATTCCATCTCAAAAAAAAAAAAAAAAAGAGTGGATGCTGGGGACTTGGGAGCAGGTGGCTGGAGTGTCTGGGGCAGAGGTGATCAGCTTGAAGGCTGCAGAGCTGACAAGTGGGTGGTTCGAATCTAGTTTAGAAGAATCAAAAGGGCTTGTGGCTATAGGGGGAATTTGTGCACTCAAGAAAGGTTGGCTGAGCACATTGTCTCACACCTATAATCTCAACACTTTGGGAGGCTGAGGCAGGGAGTTTGCTTGAGCCCAGAAGTCATGCCTTCAGTCATAACTTTTTCCACGAAGCTTTTTCAGCAAAGAGCAGATAACAGGGGAATGTAGAGGAGTTTATCTAAACAGCTTGTTTCCCTATTCTGCCCGCTCCCCAAACCAACCTTTGATTATCCATGTGCATGACTGCTCTCTACTGGGGAGGAGGGTCAGCAATGTTAATTACCCACAAGTGGTGTTTGCTCAAGACTTTTGTCATTAAATCTGTTCTAAAATAAATTCAAGTGTGTCTGGCATATTAGGGCTGCAGGGACAAATTCGTTCTTTGGGGTCTGTAAGCTCTGGGGTCCCCTAGCTGTGCTCTCACAGGAAAAACACCTGTGTCTGTGTACTTCTGTCATCTGTCACTTGGCCAGAGTCTGCGGGTCAAACTCGGCAATTTAGCCACTTGAAAGCTTTGCTGTACATTCATGAGAGAATGAGAGTTAAAAATGTAAATGTCTTGGGCAACATGGTGAGATCCCATCTGTACAAAAAATACAAAAACTAGCCAGGTATGGTGGTGCACATGTGCCTGTAGTCCCAGCTACTGAGAAGGCTGAGATGGGAGGATTGCTTGAGCTCCTGAGGTTGAGGTTGCAGTGAGCTATGATTACACCTCTGCACTACAGCCTGAATGACAGAGGGAGGCCCTGTTAAAAAGAGAGAGAGAGAGAGAGAGAGAGAGAGAGAGAGAGAGAGAGAGAGAGGCCAAGGAGGTGCACAGGCTCTGGTCCTCAGGTGGGAAGGCGGGGATGGGGACAGCAGGTGATGGGGGTGTGAAATTGAGTGCCACCTGTGTTGAGATGCCCACTAGGTGGCCTGGTGGAGAGGGTTAGCTACCCAAGTCAGGTTCAGGGCAGTGGTTGGGGCTGATGCCTCAGATAAAGGAGGGTGTTCAGAAGACCAGGTGTGAATCCCAGAGTGAGAATTTGGCCAAAAATAGAACCTGAGCAGAGGGAACTGTTCCTACCTCATTGGGCTGGGTGAGAATCAACAGTCATGAAAAGCACTTAGCCCAGTGCCAGGCAGGGAGTGGATACCCATGCCTGTTGCCTGTTGTCCCGCTATACTGCTGAGGGGCTGGACTCAAGATCCAGAGAGGGCCAGCAGCTGACTCAGGGTCACACAGCAGTGCAAGGGGCTGAACCTAGGTCTTTCTTTTCCTTTTTTTTTTTTTTTTTTTTTGAGGCGGAGTTTCGCTCTTGTGGCCCAGGCTGGAGTGCAATGGTGCCATCTTGGCTCACCGCAACCTCCGCCTCCCGGGTTCAAGTGATTCTCCTGCCTCAGCCTCCTGAGTAGCTGGGATTACAGGCAGGCATCAACGTGCCTGGATAACTTTTTTGTATTTTTAGTAGAGACAGGGTTTCTCCATGTTGGTCAGGTTAGTCTTGAACTCCCGACCTCAGGTGATCCGACCACCTTGGCCTCCCAAAGTGCTGGGATTATAGGTGTGAACCGCCTTGCATGGCCTGGTCTTTCTTCTTCTTCTTCCTCTTTTTTTTTTTGTTTGAGACAAAGTCTCACTGTGTCACCCAGGCTGGAGCGCAGTGGCATGATCTTGGCTCACAGCAACCTCTGCCTCCCAGGTTCAAGTGATTCTCCTGCCTCAGTCTCCTGAGTACCTGCGACTACAGGCACAAGCCATCATGCCTGGCTAATTTTTTTTTTTTTTTTTTTGTATTTTTACTTAGAGATGGGGTTTCACCATATTGGTCAGGCTGGTCTTGAACTCCTCAAATGATCTGCCCACCTTGGCCTCCCGAAGTGCTGGGATTACAGGCTTACAAGTGTGAGCCACCATGCCCAACCTGAACCCAGGTCTTACCTCAGAGTTCATGGTTTTTCTCTTCTTTTTTTTTTTTTTTCTCTCACTTTCTTTCCTTCCTTCCGCCACCGTTTTTTTTTCTTTTCCCCAGGGTCTCACTCTGTTGCCCAAGCCGGAGTGCAGTGGATCATAGCTTACTGCAGCCTCAAACTCTAAAATTCCTGGCTCAAGTGATCCTCCTGCCTCAGCCTCCTGAGTAGCTAAGACTTCAAGTGCCACCACCACATCCAGCTAATTTTCTTATTTTATGTAGAGACAGAGTCTGGCTATGTTGCTCGGGCTGGTCTCGAACACTGGGCTCGTGTTAGTGCTGTTCTGGCCTTCCAAAGTGCTGGGATTACAGGAGTGAGGAACTGTCCACAGTCCCCAGAGTTCATGTTCTTTACCACTGGGCAGCACTGCCAGGGGAACTCGGCCAGCCCTAACCTGTTCCAGAGTCCTCCCCCCCCCCGTCCCTCCACCCCCTCCGGCTCCTCTCTCCTTCCCTTGCCTGACTCCCTTCTCTTGTCCTCTCCAGGCCCACCTGTCCTCCCCTGCCCATCCGGGCTGGCACTAGCTTACTTCCTCACGCTCCGAGTGCTGGGTGCTCAGCGTCTCCAGCTGCCGGCGCAGCTCCTCATTTCGTTCCAGAAGCATCTTGCCGAGCTCCGCGGCCAACAGGAGGTCTTTCTCCTTCTGCTGCAGCTGCAGGGCCAGGTCCTCTGGCTCCTCAGGCCCTGGGCCCCCTCCCAGGAATGAGTCTCGCCGCTCCAGCACAAAGGGGAAGAAGCCCTCGTCGCCGCTGGGAGAGGTACCCCCGGAAAGCAGCCCCGACGATGGGAAGCTGGGCCCATCTGGAGAGCTCATGTCACCTGCAGCATCTGTGGGGACAGGTGGCTGCGGGACATTCTACTCTGCAGTCTGATGGGGGCGCGCCCTCCGCGGGCCAGCACCCGGCCCTCCATGAATTCTTGACCTGCACGGCCTGCCGGGTCCTGCGGCCAGAGCTTCCTGGGCCACGAAGGGTTAATGACCTGTGTTCTGGCCACCCAGTTCCGTTAATGTCCCTGGGGTACACTGAGGCAGGAAGTAGAAGGAAATGACCTGCCCAGCCTTTGGCCTCTACCAATCTCTGCCCCCAGGAAAGCTTCGAGCGCTGCAGGGCCGCCGGCCACCTCTGCTCCCGGTACCGTCTCTTCCCAGAACCCACAAGTTTGGCTCCTAGCCCCTCACCATCTGAGATCGTCCCCAGAACCCAGGTTCTCAGGGACTCAGCTGTTGGAGTTGAGCCCCGTCCCTTCTCCTCCCAGGAATGCTGGACCCTAAGGCTTGGGAACTGAGGTGTTTTGGCCCCCAGGAATCCAGCTCCCTCCCCTACCAAAAGCCCAGCTCCCAGCCCCGGACCCTCCAGGTCTCGGGCCCTCACTCTCCTTATCTCCCAAGCAGGTGCTTTGACTCCACCCTCCAGACTCAGAGGTCCCCACCTCCAGTGTCCCCCTCCAAGGATTCCCACCTCAGTTCATTTTCCATGGGACTCAGGAGCCCTGACCCCCAGCCCCCCAGTTTCCCAGGGTCCTGGCGTGGGGCCCAGAACAGGGCGAGGTAACAGGTTGTGCCGGCCGCCCCGCCACAGCGCGGCTCGGAGTTTCTGTTTACTTCCCGGCCCGCCCCTGGGGACGGGAGCCCTGTGCTCCCCTAGGACTGCTCAGGGCCTGGGGTTCAGGGGCTCGGAACAGCGGGCCCGACACACCAGGCTTACCTGCCCCAGCCCTCCGGAGGGTCCCCCACTACACACACACCACACACCTGTGCTCCCCCTCCTCCTCTCGCCCGGTGTCCAAGCGCAGCCCTGCTCGCAGGACCTAAATGTCACGGTGGTCCCAGCCCAGCTGCCCCCAGGCCGCTCCCGGGGATCTCCCTGACTTGGCACCCCGGACCCCGCTCCCCGGACCCCCTCCACCCCAGAGACCCGGACCTGAAGACTCCCCATCCCCTCCAGCACCTAGCTGCCCAGGTGTCTGGGCCTCCAGCCCCCCGACCCCCAGCCCCAGGCCTTGGAGACCTGGAGAAGGAACTAGGTTCACCCCCGACGGCTGAGTTACCGCCCCCGGTTCACCGCGATCCCGGTTCCCCAGCCCCCGCCCCGGCACCCCCATTTTCTCCGCTGAAGCGGCCAGACCGGTCCCTCCCGAAGCTCGAGGGTCCTGGCCCTCGGCGTCCCCCACGCTCTCACCCGAAGCCTCCGGGCTCCCTCCGAGGTCTCCCGTCCCCTCTTCCGGAGGCGGCTCCAGGTGTGCGGCCTGCACAGGTGAAGGGGCGGGGCCGCGGGAGGGGCCGGGGCCCTCCCAGGCTGCCGGTGTGGCCGGGCAGGTCGAGGGAGAGTCGCTTCCACCCGGCTGGGGGCACTGGCCCACCTTGCTGTGGTTGCAAACTGAGCACCTACTGTGTGCAGATCCTACATTGAGATAGCCGCGGCTCCTTTCCGGTCCCCACTGCCTTGCCCTGTGGGATGGGAAATGATTAGCAATAGACAACAACATCGAATCTGACATCTTAAGCACTCTGCTAAGTAAACTTTTTATTTTTTAGAGATGGAGTCTTGCTCTGCCACCCAGGCTGGAGTGCAGTGGCACCATCACTGCAGCCTCGACCTCCCAGGCTCAAGCGATCCTCCCACCTCAGCCTCCCCAGTAGCTGGGACTACAGGCACAGGCCACTCATGCCCCGCTAATTTTTGGACTTTTTATAGGGGTGGGTTTTCAACATGTTGCCGGGGCTGGTCTCAAACTCCTGGATTCAAGCAATCCTCTTTCCTGGGCCTCCCAAAGTACTGAGATTACAGACATGAGCCACTGCTACTGGCCAAGTAAACTATTTTATAGGTGTAACCTGTTGACTTTTTTTTTTTTTTTTCTTTTTTTTTTGGAGACAGAATTTCACTCTTCTCACCCAGGCTGGAGTACAATGGTGCCATCTCTGCTCCCAGCAGCCTCCGCTCCTGGGTTCAAGCGATTCTCCTGCCTCAGCCTCACAAGTAGCTGGGATTACAGGCATGCGCCACCACATCCAGCTAATTTTGTATTTTTAGTAGAAACGGGGTTTCACCATGTTGGCCAGACTGGTCTCAAACTCCTGACCTCATGATCCACCTGCCTCGGCCTCCCAAAGTGCTGGGATTACAGGTGTGAGCCACCGTGCTCCACCCAACTTGTTGGCTTTTATGATGGCCTGATGAGAAGGAATTGCTGTAATTCCCATCTTACAGATGAGGAAGCTGAGGCTCGGGGTGAGGGATTCTCCACCTTGCTTGGGGACCCTTGGGCAGAACTTGAAGGTAAACAGCACAAGTGTGGCTTTAGGGTCATGCTATTTACTGATTCCCATGCTGCAGACGAGGACACTGTAGCCCAGACAGCTAAAGTGACTTGCCAATAGCCACATCCAGTCTGTGCGGCTCCACACCTGGAGCTCTCAGTTCCTGAGTTATGCAGAGCTGGGGACCAACTCCAGGCTGGGACAGGGGCCTTGGTGTGGAGATGGGAAGGTCTGGGGCTGGGGACCAGGTCCAGCCCCAGGGTGGCGTGGACAGCAGCGATGCCCAGCCACAGCCTTGTGTCTTGTCATGATTCTCTCCAGACTCCAGGGCTCCCTGCGCCTTGTGACAGGGGCTCCTGGCCTGGAGAGCAGGAAGATGGAGGGCTGGGAGCAACGATGCGTTAGGCGTTTAACAGCAGGCTCCCTGGTTAAAATAGAAGCCCGGGTTCATTGCATTTGCCAATGTCCATGATGCAATACCTGCTCCTCGGCTGACTTCCAGCTACTCACCTGGCATCGTGGAGTGCAGAGGTGGAAGGGGCTGTGCACATCGGCTCTGGCCAGCGGGTGTCAGCTGGCTCCATGCACCTCAGGCTAGGAGTCAGGGTTCGTAAGTCTCGGGGGCCTAGGGGCTACTTACCTGGGTTCTAGAAAAACCAGAGGAGGGTGGGGGCTGGGACCACTGGCTTGTGGGAAAAGGGAAGCAAGGACTCCCTGGAGGGGTGACTTAGGAACTGGGACTTCTGGGTCCTGGGGCTGGGACAGAGTTTTCTGCCAGCAGAGAGTAGGGGAGCTGGAGCATTATCTTAGAGCCACATTGCCCAGCAAGGCTGCCACTTTCTCCCACAGCACCTGTGGGAGCAGCCTGGTAGCCCCTGGAGGGCTGAAGACAGCCCAGTCTCCCCTGGGTGCTGCCATGTGACCCTCCAAAAATATAAGCTCAGTATCTCCTCCAAATGTCAGTCACCCTGGGCCCTACTCACACCACACTTAGCACATCTTAAGCACCTCCTACCAGGCTGGGCTCAGCCTGGGATGAAATGATCACAGGTTCACAGTCCACCCAGGCCGTGGGAGGGAGTGTAGACCAATAAACCAGAAAGAACCAGTAAAACAGCACAGCAAAGGCACTTGGCTTGCGGGTGCTGGCTTCACATGGCTTCAGTCCAGGATTCAGTTGGCCACATACCAGATGTATGTGCCTGTGCCCTTCAGCTGATTAACCTCTGCAGCCCTCAGTTTCCCCGTCTATAAAATGGGGGTAATAGTTCCTAGCTTATAGGGATGTGAGGATTTCTTTTCTTTCTTTCTTTTTCTTTTTCTTTCTTTCTTTTTTTTTGAGATAGAGTCTCGCTCTGTCCCCTAGGCTGGAGTGCAGGCATCTCAGTTCACTGCAACCTCTGCCTCCGGGGTTCAAGCCATTCTCCCACCCCAGCCTCCTAAGTACCTGGGATCACAGGCACGCGCCACCACAACCAGCTAATTTTTGTATTTTTAGTAGAGACAGGGTTTCACCATGTTGGCCAGAATGGTCTCGAACTCCTGACCTCAAGTGATCTGCCCACCTTGGCCTCCCAGAGTGTTGAGATTACAGCTTGAGCCACCGCGCCCGGCCAGGTGTGAGGATTAAATGGGGGTGAAGTTCCAACACTTAGTCCTTGCTGGTGATCCTCGGCATGGCCACCAAGGTGACTCACCTGCATGCTACCTGTGCTTCATCCTCACAGGAGCCCTGTGAGGTCACACCATTCATAGATGAGGAGGCCAGGCTCAGAGAGGTGAAGTCGTTTGTCTGTGGGTGCACAGCAGAGCCCTCATCCCAGCCTGCCTAGCTCTCGGCCTCAGTCCCTCTTGGGAAGTTTGTGTTGTTTTTGTTTTTTTCAGAGACAGGGTCTCACTCTGTCACCCAGGTTGGAGTGCAGCGGCATGATCATAGCTCACTGCAGTCTCGAACTCTTGGACTCAAGTGATCCGCCTGCATCAGCCTCCTGAGTGGCTGGAACTACAGGCAGGTGCCACCATGCCCTGCTAACTTTTTTATTTTTTGTAGAGGTGGGGGTCTTACTATATTCTCTAGGCTGGTCTTGACTTCTGGCCTCAAGCAATTCTCCTGCCTTGGCCTCCAAAAGTGCTGGGATTTGAGTCATGAGCCAGTGTGCCTGGATTTGAATATCTGAATCTGGTGCTCAGTCTCCTCCGGACCCAAGATTCCTGGCCTCCATCTCCCTGTTGGGCTTAAGAGTTCTGGCCCCCCAGCACACAGGGGCCCCCAGCCCTCCCCTCATCCCTAGGCACCCTGCCGATCCCAGGAGAAAAATGAATAGGAGAGACAGAGGGGCCTCAGGGAAGCCCTGGGGAGACTGGTACATGACTGGTTAAGAAGGGAGGGATCAGCAGGGTGCGGTGGCTCACTCCGGTAACCCCAGCACTTTGGGAGGCCAAGGTAGGTGGATCACAAGCTCAGAAGTTCAAGACCAGCCTGACCAACATGGCTAAGCCCCGTCTCTACCAAAAATACAAAAATTAGCTGGGCGTTGTGGTGGGCACCTATAATCCCGGCTACTCAGGAGGCTGAGACAGGAGAATTGCTTGAACCTGGAAGGCAGAAGTTGCAGTGAGCCAAGATTGTGCCACTGCACTCCAGCCTGGGCAAGAAAGCAAGACTCCATCTCAAAAAAAAAAAAAAAAAAAAAAAAAAGGAGGGATCAGCTGGGCACGGTGGTTCACACCTGTAATCCCAGCACTTTGAGAGGCTGAGGCAGGTGGATCACAAAGTCAGGAGTTCAAGACCAGCCTGGCCAAAATGCTGAAACTCGGTCTCTACTAAAAATACAAAAATTAGCCTGGCATGGTGGCACACGCCTGTCATGGCAGCTACTCAGGAGGCTGAGGCGGGAGAATTGCTTGAACCTGGGCAGCAGACGTTGCAGTGAGCAGAGATCTTGTCACTACACTCCAGCCTAAGTGGCAGAGCAAGACTCCTACCCACCCTCCAAAAAAAGAAGGGAGGGAGGGATGGTCACCCAGCCTCACCTACTTTCCAGCCTGGCCCCTAAATAAGCCAGCTTCCCGGATGCTTAGTTTGGAATGACCCCCTCACCTTTCCATCCACCCACTGAGCCCCGGGAGATTCAGAGTCTTGGCTGGGAGTTGAGGAGGGGCCTCATCCCTGGGGAAGCCTTCTCAGATCTCACAGTGCCTTGGGCAGTCTCAGCTGGGCATCCAGAGGCCAGTAGAACTCCACTCTCTTCCCTGCCGTCCCCAGAGGCAGCCTGGTAGAAATAACCTGGGTCCAGACCCAGGTGCCTCCAGGCTTTTATGACGTGTGCTCAGTCCATGAACAGTAGGTGGTATTGTTTGGAGCATTAAAAACCTTTATATGAAATATTTCACAGTGAATCCATTGTTCTGCAACTTGTTTTTTTGATGTAGGCTTATGTTTCCAAGTGTTTTCTCCCACTTACGAAAAAAAAAAAAAATCAGGTCGGGCATGGTGGCTCACGCCTGAATCCCAGCACTTTGGGAGGCCAAGGTGGGTAGATCACAAGGTCAGGAGACCAAGACCAGCCTGGCCAACATGGTGAAACGCCGTCTCTGCTAAAATACAAAACGTAACTGGGTGGGAATCCCAGCTACTAGGGAGGGTGAGGCAGGAGAATCGCTTGAACCAGGGAGTTGGAAGTTGCAGTGAGCCCAGATTGCACCAGTGCACTCCAGCCTGGCAACAGAGCGAGACTCCATCTCAAAATAAATAAATAAATAAATAAACAAACAACTAACTAAATAAATAGGCAGGTCGAGGTAGCTCAGGCTTGTAATCCCAGCGCTTTGGGAGGCCAAGGCGGTTAGATCATGAGGTCAGGAGTTCAAGAAGCCTGGCCAAGATGGTGAAACTCCATCTCTACTAAAAATACAAAAATTAGCCAGGTGTGATGGCGGGTGCCTGTAATCCCAGCTACTTGGGAGGCTGAGGCAGGAGAATTGCTTGAGCCCGGGAGGCAGAGGTTGCACTCAGCTGAGATCATTCCATTGCCCTCCAGCCTGGGTGACAGAGGGAGACTTGGTCTCAACAACAACAACAACAACAAAACCAGCTTTGGCTGGACACAGTGGCTCACACCTGTAATCTCAACACTTTAGGCAGAGGCAGGCAGATTACTTGAGGCCAGAAGTTCAAGACCAGCCTGGGCAACATGGGAAAAACCCATTTCTACAAAAAGTACAAAATTAGCAGGGCACAGTGGCACGTGCTATAGTCCCAGCTACTCACAAGGCTAAGGCAGGAGGATCACTTGAGTCCAGGAAGTAGAGGCTGCAGTAAGCTGAGATTGTGTCACTCACTGTACTCCAGCCTGGGTGACAGAACAAGACCCTGTCTCAAAAGAAAAAAAAAGGGGGGCTTTATTGAGGTAGGCATTAGCTTCCTAGGGCTGCGGTGGCAAAATGCCACACCAGCCCGGGAAACATAGCGAAACTCGGTCTCTACAAAAATAAAGAATAATCAGTGGCACAGGCCTGCTGTCCCGGCTACTTGGGAGGCTGAGGTGGGAGGATCCCCTGAGTCCAGGAGGTCGAAGCTGCAGCAGTGAGCCATGATTGCATCACTGCCCTCCAGCCTGGGTGACAGAGCGAGGCCCTGTCCCAAACAAAAAAGGAACCAAAAAAACCACAAACTGGGCTTACCCAACAGAAAATGATTGTATCACAGTTCTGGAGGCCGGAAGTCTGAACTCAGGGTTGGTTCCTTCTGGACGCTCTGAGGGCAAATGTACTCCATGCCTCTCCCTGGCCGTGGGGACAGCAGGGGACTCCTCGGGGTTCCCTGCCTTCTGGCTGCATCAGTCCAGTCTCTGCCTCCACTTTCACATGACCTGCGCCCCTAGGTCTTCTCCTCAGTCTGTAACTCAAATTCACCCTCTTCCATAAAGATGCCGGCCACTGCAGGTGCGGTGGCGCATGCCTGTAGTCAAAGCTACTCGGGAGGCTGAGGCTGGAGGATCTCTTGAGCCTAGGAGTTCTGGGCTGCAGTCGCTATGCCAATCGGGTGTCCGCACTAAGTTCAGCATCAATATGGTGACCTCCCGGGAGCGGGGGACCACCAGGTTGCCTCAGGAGGGGTGTACGGGCCCAGGTCGGAAACAGAGCAGGTCAAAACTCCCGTGCTGATCAGTAGTGGGATGGCGCCTGTGAATAGTCGCTGCACTCCAGCCTGGGCAACATAGCAAGACCCCGTCTCTTAAAAAAAGTAAAATAATTTTTTTTTAAACAAACAAAAAAGATGCAGGCTATTGAATTTAGGGCCCACCCTAAATCCAGGATGATCTCATCCTGAAATCTTTAACTTACGCCTGCAAATACCCTGTTTTCTTTTCTTTTCTTTTTTTTTTTTTTTGAGATGGAGTCTCGTTCTGTCACCCAGGCTGGAGGGCAGTGGCAAGATCTCGGTTCACAGTAAACTCTGCCTCCCAGGTTTAAGCGATTCTTCTGTCTCAGCCTCCCAAGTAGCTGGGACCACAGGTGTGCGCCACCACACCTGGCTAATTTTTGTATTTCTGATAGAGATGGGGTTTCACCATCTTTACAGGAGCTCTCAAACTCCTGAGCTCAAGCGATCCACCCAGCATAGCCTGCCAAAGTGTTGGGATTACAGGAGTGAGCCACTGTGCCCGGCTAGACCCTATTTTCAAATAAGGCCGCATTCTTGTGGACCTGGGGTTAGGACGTGTGAGTATCCTTTTTTTTTGGGAGGACACTTGTTTTTTTTCTTTTTTTGGAGATGGAGTCTTGCTCTGTCATCCAGACTGTACTGCAGTGGTGTGATCTCGGCTCATGTGGGTGGGAGACCCCATAGGTGCTGAGGCAGGAGTCAGAAGCCTCAGCCTGTTCCCATCTAAATAATGAAAAATAAATGAGTAGAGATATAACCATACTAGTTGTTCACAGGTAATCTTAGTTATTCATAGGTAATCACTAAGATATATATATATATATATATATATATATATATATATATATATACTCAACATAATCTTTTACTAATGCCTCTCGGGTTGTGAAGTGTGAACCTAAGGTGACATTGTGAAATAAGTGATCCTAAGGCAAGACGCCTTAAGCCCTCTGTCACACCCGTGTAAGGGCTGCTGGCGGCCGCCATGGCTGTGTGGTAGTGCCAGCGCTGGGAAAGCGCCCGCTGTTATCGAACTATGGAAGGAGACGTCGGAGATGTCTCCTTCCTCAGAGGAGCTAGGAGAAAACGCTGCTCCCCCAAGCTCTTGCGGTAGGCCTGATGGCTGTCAGGGAGACCCGAAGACATCCAGGGGCTTACTTGTCTCTATGTGATGCTGGGCTTCCACGGTCACGTTCCCGGTCCACTCTCATGTTCTGCTTTTCTGCACCTGGTTCGTCTTTTCCTTAGAAGAGATAATCAGTAAAAGTAACACAAATCTTAATGTCTTTTTTCTTTCTTGACAAGTAGGGAAAAGTGCTGACGAATTATGTTCCTTCCCTTGTCTCGGCTACTTGAAAGTCCTGGACCCCTCCCTACATGACACCTATCACTGACCACCAATACCTCACCCTACCTACCCCACCCCCTGCTTTGCACTCGATAAAAGAGCGTCCAGGCACTTGGGGTCACTGCCGGACTCCACGCTTTGGTTGGCAGTGGACCCTTGTGCCCAACTCTGTCTTGATCTCAGTGTCTTGTGTCTTTATTTCCACAGTTTCTCATCTCCTCACCAGTACAGAAGGGCTCACAGGACCCCGTGGGGCTGGACCCTACAGGCTCACTGCAACCTCCACCTCCCGGGTTCAAGCAATTTTCCTGCCTCCTGAGTAGTGAGGTTACAGGTGCACGTGGCCAGCCTGGCTAATTTTTTTTCTTTCTTTTCTTTTTCTTCTTATTTTTTGAGATGGAGTCTCCCTCTGTCGCCAGGCTGGAGTTCAATGGTTTAACCTCGGCTCACTGCAACCTCTGCCTCCTGGGTTCAAGCAATTCCCCTGCCTCAGCCTCCCGAAGAGCTAGGACTACAGGTACCTGCCACCACACACAGCTAATTTTTTGTATTATAGTATAGAGGGGGTTTCACCATGTTAGGCAGGATGGTCTCGATGTCCTTCTGCCTTTGTGATCCGCCCTCCTAAACCTCCCAAAGTGCTGGGATTACAGGCGTGAGCCACCTCGCCCAGTCTTAATTTTTGTTATTTTAGTAGAGACGGAGTTTCACCGTGTTGCCCAGGCTGGTCTCGAACTCCTGAGGTCAGGCAATCCGCTGGCCTCAGCCTCCCAAAGTGCTGGGATTACAGGCATGACCCACCTCTCCCAGCCGGGGACACGCAATTTAACCCACTACAAGGAATACTATACATATAATTAAAGTCATCAATTTTATGTCTTTCAATTGATGAGTTTTGACAAATACATTTGGTAACGTAACTACCACTACAGTCATGATGAATCACCTCAAAAAGTTGTCCTTGCCCCTTTGCAGTCAATCTCTTTCCCCACCCCAACCCCTGGCAACCACCACTCTCCTTTCTTTTTTGAGACAGAGTTTCGCTCTTGTTACCCAGGCTGGAGTGCAATGGCGTGATCTCGGCTCACCGCAACCTCCGCCTCCTGGGTTCAGGCAATTCTCCTGCCTCAGCCTCCCGAGTAGCTGGGATTACAGGCACGTGCCACCATGCCCAGCTAATTTTTTTTGTATTTTTTTAGTAGAGACGGGGTTTCACTATGTTGACCGGGATGGTCTCGATCTCTCGACCTCTTGATCCACCTGCCTCGGCCTCCCAAAGTGCTAGGATTATAGGCTTGAGCCACTGCGCCCGGCCTCTGCTTTCTTTTTTCTTTTCTCTTTCCAACTCTCCAGGAATTGGAGGCTGCAGTGTGCTATGATGGAGCCTTCAGATAGCTACTGCACTCCAGCCAGAGCAACAGAGCAAGACCCTGTCTCTGTGTTTCTTTTGAGACAGAGTCTCTTTCTGCTGTCCAGGCTGGAGTGCAGTGGCACAATCGGCTCATTGCAATCTCTGCCTCTAGGGTTCAAGCGATTCTCCTGCCTCAGCTTCCTGAGTAGCTGGGACTACAGGTGTACACCACAATGCCTGCTAATATATATATTTTTTGAGACGAAGTTTTACTCTTGTTGCCCAGGCTGGAGTGCAATGGCTTAATCGCAGCTCACTGCAACCTCTGCCTCCCGGGTTCAAGTGATTCTGCTGCCTCAGCCTGCCAAGTAGCTGGGATTACAGGCTCCTGCCACCACACCTGGCTAATTTTTGTACTTATAGTAGAGATGGGTTTCTCATGTTGGTCAGGTTGGTCTTGAACTCTTGACCTCAGATGATCCACCCACCTCGGCCTCCCAAAATGCTGGGATTACAGGCGTAAGCCATCTCACCCGGCCTTTTTCTTTTTTTTTGAGACCCAAGCTACAGTGTAATGGCTTAATCTCAGCTCACTGAAAACTCTGCCTCCTGGGTTCAAGTGATTCTCTTGCCTCATCCTCCAGAGAAGCTGGGATTACAGGCACCTACCACCACATCAGGCTAACTTTTTACTCTTTTGTTTTGTTTTGTTTTGTTTTGTTTTGTTTATAAAGATGGGGTTTCACCATGATGGCCAGGCTGATCTTGAACTCCTGACCTCAGGTGATCCACCCACCTCGGCCTCCCAAAGTGCTAGGATTACAGGCATGAGCCACCGCACCCTGCCAATTTTTTACTCTTTTTTAGTAGAGACGGGGTTTTGCCTTGTTGGCTAGGCTGGTCTAGAACTCCTGACCTCAGCTGATCCACCCACCTTGGCCTCCCAGAGTGCTGAGATTTCAGGCAAGAGCCACTTCACCCAGCCCTATTTAGTTTCATTTAATCTTAAATAGTCACCTTGCCCTCTTCTGTGTCTTTCAGGCATTCACATTTGAAGAATTCAGGCACTTATTTCTGAAGTGTTTCTGAGGCCATGCCCAGTGGTTTATTCCTGTAATCTCAATGCTTTGGGAGGCCAAGGCAGGAGGATCAATTGAGCTCAGGAGGCTCAATAGAGGCTGCAATGAGCTATGATTGCACCACTGGACTCCAGCATGGGTGACAGAACATGACCCTGTCTAAGAAAAAAAATATTCCTGAGATCTCTCTAGGATGATGCATCTGGATTGAGCTTGTGTTTACTAATCACTCTATAGCGTTCCATCCAGTGTTTAAACTCCTAGAAACAAAACAAAACAAAACAAAAAGAAGGTGAAAAATAAACAGAAAAATCCCCCAAAACACAAAGAAAAGGCCAGGCGAGGTGGATCACGCCTGTGATCCCAGCACTCTGGGAGGCCAAGGCGGGTGGATCACCTGAGGTCAGGAGTTCCAGACCAGCCTGACCAAAATGGAGAAACCCTGTCTCTACTAAAAATACAAAAAATTAGCCAGTCGTGGTGGTACACGCCTGTAATTCCAGGTACTCGGGAGGCTGAGGTAGGAGAATCACTTGGACCCGGGAGGCAGAGTTTGCAGAGAGCCAAGATTGCGCCATTGTACCACTCCAGCCTGGGCAATAAGAGCAAAACTCCATCTCAGAAACAAACCAACACACAAACAACCCCCCCACCACCCCCCCAAAAATACCACAAAGAAAAAAGCTAATAAATGACAGGAACAAGCAAACAAACAAACAAAAATAAAATAATACAATACAAAAAAACTCCCACTGTTTCTCCACTGCCATTTCTCGTAAGAGTATGAGAGAATGTCCTTGTACACAGATCTCCAAAAACACATGGGTGGAATCCCCACTCTGTCACCTACCTACAAGTGAAATTAGTGGGTGAGAGTTTCAATAATCTCTTGTGGCATCATCTGTACTCTACAATTTAGAGGCTTATGACAACAATTTGTGGCCAGGAGCAGTGGCTCATTCCTGTAATCTCAGCGCTCTGGGAGGCTGAGGCAGGAGGATCACTTAAGCCCAGGAGTTCAAGACAAGCCTGGACAACATAGTGAGCGCCTTAGCCTCACCAGTAGCTGGGATTACAGTGCATGCCACTACACTCAGCTAATTTTTTGCAGTTTTAGTAGAGATGGGGTTTCTCCAGCTTAGCCAGGCTGGTCTGGAACTCCTGGCCTCAAGTGATCCACCCACCTCAGCCTCCCAAAGTGCTCGGATTACAGGCCTGAGCCACCATGCCCAGCTTACTTATTTTTAAGACAGGATCTTACTCTGTCACTTAGCTGGAGTGCAGTGGTGCAGTAACAGCCCACTGCAGCCTCGATGTTCTAGGCACAGGTGATCCTACTGCCTCAACTTACCAAGTAGCTGGAACTACAGGTGTGCACCACGACTCCCAGCTAATTTGTATATTTTTTGTAGAAACAGAGTCTCACTATGTTGCCCAGGCTGGTCTCGAACTCCTGGCTCAAGCAATCTGTATATGTTGGCCTTCCAAAGTGCTGGGATTACAGGGTGTGCCACTGCGCATGGCCTAAAGCATAGGTTTTAATTTGTACCAGGTAATAAAGGGTCTGACTCCGTTTTTGATGTTTTACTGCTGACAGCTTTAAAGCTCCGTGCCTACCTCCTCTCCTGTGCCCACATCGGAGCAGGATGATCCGAAGGTCCTCTGATCCGAAGGTCCTGGTGCTCTCTCCCTCACCCTAGAGAGAAATTTAAATTAGGAAAACCCTGGCTGGTTGGAAGGGACCGTCATCCCACTTTATCCCATAACCACAGTAAAAGCCCTTCCTTGAATTGCTTGAACCCCTGAGGTGGAGGTTGCAGTGAACCAAGATCATGCCATTGCACTCCAGCCTGGGCGTCAAGCTCCGTCTCCAAAACAAAAAATAAAAAAAGTCCTGGGTGTGGTGGCTCATGCCTGTAATCCTAGTTCTTTGGGAGGCTGATGTGGGTGGATTGAATGAGCTCAAGAGTTCCAAACCACTCTGGGTAACACGGTGAAACCTCGTCTCTACTAAAATACAAAAAATTAGCTAGGCGTGGCAGTGCAAGCCTGTAGTCCTAGCTACGTGGGAAGCTGAGGCAGGAGAATTACTTGAACCTGGGAGGTGGAGGTTGCAGTGAGCAGAGATAGAGCCACTACACTGCACTCCAGCCTGGGCGACAGAGAGAGACTCAAAAAAAAAAAAAAAAAAAAAAAAAAAAGATAGGGATGGTGGCTTGGGCCAATAGTCCCAGCTACTTGGGAGGTTGAGGTGGGAGTATTGCCTGAGTCGAGGAGTAAGCCGCTGTCGTAAGCCGAGATCGCGCCAGCGCACTCCAGAGAGTGAGCAAGGGAGACAGAGCCTGGGAGACAGAGCAAGGCTCCGTTCCGCCCCCCACCAAAAAAAAAAAAAAAAAAAAAAGAGGTCGAGACACCTGGGGGGACCGTGTGGGGAAACAGCAAGAGGACGCCCTCCGCCCGCCCCGGAGGAGGCTTCAGGAGATACCCGCCCCGCAGGCACCTTGATCTTAGCCTTCCAGCTTCCAGAACTGTGAGAGCGTAAACTTCTGGTTGAGCCTCCCAGTCCGTGGTGTTCTGTTCCGGCGCCCCGGCGAGCGGGCACGGGATCGCGGTGTTTGCCTTTGCTTCTCCAGCTCCGCATCCTGCTCGCTGTTTTTGTGAGCAGCCCGGCGGCGACCCCCCAGCTGCTCCGGGACTGAGCAGTTTAACTCACACTCGCCCTCGCCAGGAAGCCTCCCGCCCGCTTCCTCCAGTTCCTTCCCCAGCGGCAGGGCCTCCTAGCCCCGTGCTGTGGGCGCGGGAGGGGGCGGCTCGCAGACCCCCAGGTCTCTGCTTCCCGGAACTCCGCCGCCCGCCCATCCACTCCCCTGTCCCCGGCTCCCGGCATAGACCTGAGCTGCGGCCTCCGCGCAGAGGTTGCTGCATTTAAATGTCTGGCACCTGGGGAGAGGGGCGCAGTCGCGGAGCAGTTCCTGCCCCCGGGACCTAGAGAAGCTCAAACCCCCGCGTGCAGAGGCCGAGCCCGGCGCGCAGCCCACGTGGGCTGGGGGACTGAGTATCCGGCCCTCTGGCAGCCGCAACCGCGCACAGCTGGAGCTGGCTGGGAGGGCGGCGGACCGGGACCCCGCGGGGAAGGAGGCTTCCTTCCTAGCCTCCAGCTGCCCGGAAATCCCCCCAGCTCTCAAAAGACCAGCACCATGGGGTCCTAGGGGAAGAAGTGGGGGTGGGATACGGGGATGGGGAGGGCTAGCCGAGCCAGAGGTCCGGGACGCCCTCTTCCCGGCCGCGCGACTTCGAGAAAGCAGAAACGAGTCCTGCCCCGGGGAGTCCCACGGGAGCGGGGATCTGGGAAGAGAAACTTGCGGACGACGAAGTTGAAGCAGTGGACCCCCCACCCCCGGGGCGTCCTCCGTCGGAGGAGGGTCCCTGGGTCGGGGCGGGGGCCACCGCTTGGCCCGCCCCTTGTCGCTGGACGTCCGAAGATTGGGCCATTTTCCTTGCCGCGCCCTTACTGCTTATCCGGGTGCGCCCGGCCCGCCCCACCCAGTCCTCTGCACGAGCCGGGAGAGGAGGGGCAGCCGGCGCAGCGCCCCGGGACCCGGAGAGGCCGTCGCGGCGAATCCGGACCTCCGCCGTTCCTGCGTCTTCTCAACCGTGCTGGGATTGCCGGGCCGACCCGACCCAGCGTCTGGACCCGGGACCTCTTGTACCCTCCGCTGACTCCACTGGGCGCTTCCCGGGACCCCCCGGACACACCCAGCCCTCCAGTGCATCCCTTCCTACTCCGCGCCGGGTGCCCCCGACCCTCTCCAAGCCGGGATCTCCTCCCCCAGTTCCCCGGGGCGGCCCCGGCCAGGCCCCCTTCGAGCCCTGAAGGCGGCCGGATCTGAGGCGCGCCATGCGGCTGCAGGTGCTGCGGTTGCGGCTGAGGCTCCGGCTCCTCGCGCTGCTGCTGCCGCTGCTGCTGCCGCCGGCGCGCGCCCCGAAGCCCTCGGCGCAGGACGTGAGCCTGGGCGTGGTGAGCGCGGGGTCCGCAGGCTCCTGGGATCTGCAAGGAGGTTGGGAGAGTGAAGCTGGGACCGGACTCCTGGGACCCCAGGAGGCAGGAGCCAAATTACAATATCCAGAGTGACCGAGGATGGGATCTGGGCACCCGGATTCTTGGGTCTGTCGGGAGGTTTGGGGCTGGGATCTGGGGCTCTGGAAGGGAGCTGGGATGAGGAGCTGAAGTCCAGACAAAGACTGGCAAACTCGGGACTGAAGCGAGGGCCTCCAGAAGGGAGCAGGCGGACATCCGAGCTGGGGCCCTGGGTTCTGGGTGCCTGGGAGGGACAGGGCTGCGAGGATGGTGGTGGGCAGGGATACCCCATGCGTTTCAGCCAGCCCGCTTCACCTGTCCCCTCCGATGCCCTAGGAGTGGCTGACGCGATATGGTTACCTGCCGCCACCCCACCCTGCCCAGGCCCAGCTGCAGAGCCCTGAGAAGCTGAGCGATGCCATCAAGGTCATGCAAAGGTTCGCGGGGCTACCAGAGACCGGCCTAATGGGTAGGTGGCCCCCACCTCTCCCCAGCCCTGCTCTGCACCCAGCCTGACCGCCACCCAACAGTCTCAGACCTCAGCTGCTCCTCGAACACGGAGCTAGGAAGATGTTGCTCTCAGGCCCCAACCCCAGAGGGTCTCAGGCATTTATCAAGAACCTGGTGGCTTATGCCTTAATCCCAAGCTTTGGGAGGCTGAGGCTTGAGGATTGCTTGAGGCCAGGAATTTGAGACCAGCCTGGCCAACAAAGCGAGATCCCCATCTCTAAGAATTTTTTAAAACTTAAGAGTGTAGTGGCATAGGCCTGTGGTCCCAGCTACTCAGAACACTGAGGTGGGAGGATTGCTTAAGCCCAGGGGTTGAAGGCTGCAAAGAGCTGTGATTGTACCACCTCATTCCAACCTGGGTAACAAATGGAGACATATATAACAAAATATACTTTGAGCATATCTCAGATGCCACGCCCTTTCAGGCTCCACTGGTATAGTGATGAATAAAGCAGGTAAGGCTCCTGCTCTCATGGAGCTAACTTTCTCAAGGGAGAGAAAGATGGATCAAGAACATAAATATGCAAGATAATTTCAGATAGTGGTGAGTGTTTGGAAAAAAGTAAAATGTGATTGGCCTCAAGGAGCTGGTCTGGTTAGGGCAGGTCTCTCTGAAAGGTATATGAGCTGCGATAATAGCTAAGAACCAGCCACGGGAAGGTGTGGAAGAAGGGTGTCCACAAGCTGGTGTGCCTGGAGTGAAAGGAGCATTGAAGAGCTCTGGTGAGAGGCCTCAGCCAGGGTCCATGAGAGGCGATTGGGGTTGATTTCAAGGGTGATTAGCAACTCCCAAGTGTTCTCAGAAGGGAAGCAACTTGGAGCTGGGTCTGACTTGCTTTTTTTTTTTTTTTTTGAGACGCAGTTTTGCCCTTGTTACCCAGGCTGGAGTGCAATGGCGCGATCTCGGCTCACCGCAACTTCTACCTCCTGGGTTCAAGCAATTCTCCTGCCTCAGCCTCCCGGTAGCTGGGACTACAGGCACACACCACCACGCCCAGCTAATTATTATATATTTTTTAAGTAGAGACAGGCTTTCACCATATTGACCAGAATGGTCTCGATCTCTTGACCTCATGATCTGCCCATCTTGGCCTCCCAAAGTGCTGGGATTACAAGTGTGAGCCACCGTGCCCGGCCTTTTGAGATAGAATCTCACTCTGTCACCAAGGCTGGAGTACAGTGGTGCAATCTCAGCTCACTGCTACCTCTGCCTCCCAGGTTCAAGTGATTTTCATGTCTCAGCCTCCGGAGTAGCTGGAACTACAGGCGCATGCCACCACATCCTGCTAATTATTTGTATGTTTATTAGAGATGAGGTTTCACCATCTTGGCCAGGCTAGTCTTGAACTCCTGACCTTGTGATCTGCCCACTTCAGCCTCCCAAAATGCTGGGATTACAGGCGTGAGCCACCATGCGTGGCCATTTCTTAACCCCTCTGACCCTCAGTTTCCCCATGTAGAAAGTTGATTGGTGCCATGATTAAGGCAGGCTCTCCTACTGTGGACCCTTCCCTGCCAAATGTCTCCCGCAGACCCAAGGACTGTGGCCACCATGCGTAAGCCCCGCTGCTCCCTGCCTGACGTGCTAGGGGTGGCGGGGCTGGTCAGGCGTCGGCGCCGGTACGCTCTGAGTGGCAGTGTGTGGAAGAAGCGCACCCTGACGTGGAGGTAGGTCCCTGGGTCACCCGCATCCTGGGCGGGACTGCTGGGCCCCAGCTTTGAATGATTGCCTGCACCCTCCACAGCCACCCTTACGCCTCGCTCCCCTCTCCCCAGGGTGCGTTCCTTCCCCCAGAGTTCCCAGCTGAGGCCAGAGACCGTGCGGGTCCTCATGAACTATGCCCTGATGGCCTGGGGCATGGAGACAGATCTCAAATTCAATGAGGTGGATTCCCCTCAGGGCCAGGAGCCTGACATCCTCATCGACTTTGCCAGCGCCTTCCACCAGGACAGCTACCCCTTTGATGGGGTGGGGGGCACCCTAGCCCATGCCTTCTTCCCCGGGGAGCACCCCATCTCTGGGGACACTCACTTTGATGATGAGGAAACCTGGACTTTTGGGTCAAAAGGTAAAATCTCCTCTCTTATGAGAGATCCTCTTCCGGTCTGGTCTTAAGAATATGTTTTCTGTTGTGTGTTTTGTTTAAGAGACAGGGTCTCGCTCTGTTGCTCAGGCTGGAGTGCAGTGGTGCAATCTTAGCTCACAGGAGCCCTGAACTTCTGGGCTCAAGGAATCCTCCCCTCTCAGTCTCCAGAGTAGCTGGGATCACTGGTGCACACCACCATACCTGGCTATTTGTTTTACTTTTTGTAGAAACAGGGTCTCACTATGTTGCCCAGGCTGAAGTGCAGTGACATGATCACGGCTCACTGCAGCCTTCACCTCCTGGGCTCAGGTGATCCTCTCTCCTCAGCCACCCACATAGCCAGGACCACAGGTGTGCACTACCGCAACTGGCTAGTTTTAAAATTTTTACTGCTTCACTTGACTAGCCTTTAAAATTTTTTTTTTTTTTTTTTTTTTTTTTTTTTTTTTTTTTGTAGCACTATGTTGCCAGGCTGGTCCTGAACTCCTGGGCTCAAGTGCTCAAGTGATCCTCTCACCTTGGCCTTCCAAAGCACTGGGATTATAGGCGTGAGCCAGCACTCCTGGCCAAGAATTAGGTTTAAATTATATTTATTGATGGGGGGCTCTATGAACTGGGGTCTCTGGAGAAACAGAACCAATAGGATATGTGTGTGTGTGTGTGTGTGTGTGTGTGTGTGTGTGTAGAGATTTATTTTAAGGAATTGGCTCACAGGGATTGTAAGAGCTAGCAAATCCAAAATTTGTTAGGCAGTTATAGACTGGAGGCAAAATTTTTTGCTCTCCAGGAAACCTTAGTTTTGCTCTTAAGGCCTTGAACTAACTGACTGGCTGTGTCCCTACCCCACCCCCAGCCACACTATGGAGTGTGATCTGCTTTACTTAAAGTCAACTGATTATAGATGTTAATTGTGTCTACAAAGCACCTTCACCATAGCATCTAGACTGGTGTTTCACCAACCAGCTGGGCACGACAGCCAGGCCAAATTGACACACACAATGAACCATCACGAAAGCCTGTCAGCTGAGGCTGGGGGTTACAGAGACGAAAACACATCTTTGCCCAGCAGCTGAGTCAGAAGAGCGGCTGGCAATGACAACACCCACAGTGACGCAGCTGCACAGAATCCCAGCAGAGGAAGTCCTCAAACCTGCAGCGGCTCAGAGATGTTGGTTCAAAGCTCTTGGGCAAGGGGAGACTTCCTGGAAGAGGTGACTTCATTGCCTCAATATGTATACGAATATCGGCTGGGTGCAGTGGCTCGTGCCTGTAATCCCAGCACCTTGGGAGACTGAGGTGGGTAGATCGCCTGAGGTCGGGAGTTCAAGACCAGCCTGACCAACACGGTGAAACCCAGTCTCTACTAAAAATACAAAAAAGTACCCGGGTGTGGTGGTGGGTGCTTGTAATCCCAGCTACTCGGGAGGCTGAGGCAGGGACCTGAGAGGCAGAGGTTGCCGTGGGCCCAGATTGCACCACTGCACTCCAGCCTGGGCAACAAGAGCAAAACTGCATCTCAAAAAAAAATTATACATATATATATGTGTGTGTCTGAATATCCACTCATACACACTAAGCGCCTACTAGCACAAGACAAGACAGACGGGCCTCTGCTCTCCTCAGGTCCACAGGGTTGAGATACAATAGGAAAGCAGTGAGCCAGCTGAGTCAGGGGTACGAGGAGCCAGTGCACAGGGAAATGCCCTAGAACATCCGAGGCCAGAAGGCAAACATGTGGCATCAGAAGGCAGCAGGTCCCGGATCACCAAGGGCCTAGAAAGCATGTGGAAGACTTGGGACAATGAGGGAGTCATTAAGGGGTTTCGCATTCTAGATATATCACCAGCTTCAGTCGGGGGCCAGGGTTAGCACTGAGATCCGGCTGGATTCTGGGACAGGGGCGATGCGGTTAAGGCCCTTGGAGGATGGCTGTTGGGAATGCAGGTGGGGAACCGGGAGCGGGAGGAGCAGGCTGGCAGAAGCCCGGCACACGTGCTGGTCTGGATGTGAGTCTGCAGCGTGCCCGGGCTGGCCATGCAGGTGGGTATGGGAAGTTGAGGATCCTGCCCTAGAGTTTGGACTCCTCTGTCTGAGGTCAGGTTCCCCAGAGGTGGAGCTCCAGAGGGAAATTCTTGTGCCAGCAGTTTCTCGGGGGCCATGTGCTGAGCAGAATGGGAAGCAGAAACAGCCTAGAAGCTGAGTGAGGATGTGGTCTCAGCTGCAGAGGAGCCTGATCCTCTGGGAGCTCTGCAGCAGGGACAGCAATTCAGGGGAGGTGGTCCTGCCTGAGGACCCCTGGATTGTAGCCTCATATTAAATGCATTGGCTGTGGGCTGCTGGAGAGCCTGAGTGACCAGGAAAGGGGGCAGCCAGGGAGGGGGCCTAGGCCCTGTCTAGGTTTGGGTGAGGCAAAGGCTGGGGAGGCTGTGTGCTGCAGCATTAAGACACAGGCTTCAGACTGGGCGCAGTGGCCCACACCTGTAATCCCAGCACTTTGCGAGGCCGAGACGGGCCAATCACCTGAGGTCAGGAGTTCGAGACCAGCCTGACCAATATAGTGAAAACCCGTCTCTACTAAAAACATAATAATTAGCTGGGCATGGTGGTGCATGCCTGTAATCCCAGCTACTCAGGATGCTGAGGCAGGAGAATTGCTTGAACCCAGGAGGTGGAGGTTGCAGTAAGCCAAGATCCCGACACTGCACTCCAGGCTGGGTGACAGAGCAAGACTCCGTCTCAAAAAAAAAAAAAAAAAAGAAAAAGAAAAAAATAATGGGCTTCAGCTGAGCGTGGTGGCACATGGTTGTAGTGTCAGCTACTTAGGAGTCTGAGAGAGGAGGATTGCTTGAGCTGGGGAGGTTGAGGCAGCAAGGAGCTGTGTTCCCATAACTGCACTCCAGCCTGGGTGACATAGTGAGGCCCTGTCACAACAAAGAAAGAAAAAAAGAATGTGGGCTTCAAAGTTGAACTCCAGTCAGTCAGGGAACTTCCTCTTGTAATGAACAACTTCCTTAACCTCATTGTACTCAGCTTCCTCGCCTGAGAAATTCGATGAGAATGGTACCTGCTGGCGGAGGGGGCTTGCTGATGAAATAAGCGATTCACCCACACCTCTCAGCACAGGGCCTGGGCCGGGCCACATACTGTGTGTTACCAGCTGCTATCAGAGCTGGGCTAGCGGCCGCCTTGAGAGCCAGCAGTCCACGGGGGTTGGCGAGCTTCTGGGAAGAAAGGGTGGAACGTGAAGTTCAGGTGCAGAGCTATGGAGAACCCCACCACAAAGCGGTAGGTGGCAGGGGAGGAGGACTCAACAGAGATGGAGAAAGACTGAGCCCAAAGGTGATCAAGAACAAGAGTGAAGGAGGAAGTGGTCAGCCGAGGCTGGGGCAGCAAACAAGCCCAGTAAGTTACATGGGCCTGCGTTTGGTCATCCAGGGACAAAGTGACTTTTTTAGTGTCTGTAAGCCCAGCGGGTTGGGAAGAATTTAGGCCACAGTGGGGTTAGGCGTGAGAGGAGCGGAGGAAGTGAAGATTAAGTTGAGACCACTGGCTGGAGAACTTGACTGGGAAGGGAGAGCAGAGTGCAGCACAGGTGTGGGGAGGGAATGGGTCCAATGAGCGTCTTAGGATGAGGCAGTCGTGAACACTCAACGCTGGATGAGCTGATACAAAGAAAGGAATGGGGGATGGATGGATGGACAGATGCATGCATAGAGGTGGAGATGGATGGATAGATGCAGGCACAGAGGCAGGGATGGATGGATGGATGCGTGCATACGCAGAGGCAAGGATGGATGGATAGACAGATGCATGCACAGAGGCAGGGCTGGATGGATGGACGGATGCATGCACAGAGGCAGGGATGGATGGATGGACGGATGCATGCACAGAGGCAGGGATGGATGGATGGACGGATGCATGCACAGAGGCAGGGATGGATGGATGGACGGATGCATGCACAGAGGCAGGGATGGATGGATGGACGGATGCATGCACAGAGGCAGGGATGGATGGATGGACGGATGCATGCACAGAGGCAGGGATGGATGGATGGACAGATGCATGCACAGAAACAGGGATGGATGGACAGATGCAGGCACAGAGGCAGGGCTGGATAGACAGAAGGTTGCATGCACAGAGGCGGGGATGGATGGGTGGGTCTGGATGGATAGATGGGGGTAGGACGTTCTTATCCTGGAGGAGGTGATCAAGGCTAAGTCCTCACACCGGGCAGGGTGGGAGGCAGGAGGTGACCGTGGGGATATGCAGCTGTGTGCCCCAGTGCACCAGAAGTTACAGATGACATCGATGTCCTGTCCTGATGAAACAGGAAACACATTTGTCATTTGAGAGTTGGAGGCTGGGGCTGGGTTGGAAGCTTGAGGGGCTGTGGGCCTGGCATGGAGCTGCCTGCCGGAGCCTGGCGCAAGGATGCTAGGAGGTGCCCCTGTGGACTGGCCTTTAGGAATCTCATGGGGCTGGGTCTGCACAGTCGTGCTTGTATAATTTCCCCCAGATGCATGGCGTGACAAGGGTGCAGGAAGAGGTGCAGGGCCCGGAAGCCTAGTGTGGCCAAGGAGAGGCAAGGCAGGGAAGAAAGTGAAAGATGACTGACACGGCCCTGATTAAGACACCAAACTTCCCCCAGTTTCTCAGAAAAAGGGCTCAGAGGAACAAGAGAACGTAGAGTCAACATGGAAATTCACCAAGACCATTGAAGCCCCTGCTGAGAGGCAGGCCGGCACAGCCAGGGTACCTGGCCACTACCTTGAAGTCTCTATCCCTCAGTTTCCTCCTTTGTAAAATGGGCCTAGGAGACAGGTTTGGTGAGAAGTGAATGAAAACGTGTTTGCGACTCCTCTCAGGACTCACGTTTCATGCTTAGACACTTAGCGAGTGGCTTTATGGACCGAGAGAAATTTGCTTTTCAGTTCACCAAGTCGTTACCTATGAATCTGCCGGAACACTGCTGACCTTAGAGCTGGTTGTGAAACAGATCGGCATGGAGTCATCGGTGCCTCCCTGCAGTGCTTGCCACGCTGTGACTCTGTCTTGGTCTCTTTTGGCCTCTCAGCAGCGGGAGCAGGAGCTGGCAGGCAGCTCACGGATCAATGAGCTGGGCTTGCAAAGGGTCCTGGCGCCTGGGCTGAGTCCCGAGGGAAGAGGCTGCTGCGGTGGGAAGAGGCTGGGAGTGAGGCCGGGTGCTGGAGCCAGCAGGCTGTGGGCTGAGAGTGCCTGCTGAAGGAGCTCCGTGTTTCCAAGGAGATGGAGGAAGACCTGAGTGGGGGTGGTAAAGGGTGGGGAGATGAGGGGCTGAAGCGGTGGGCAGGGAGATGGGGGAGGGGGAATGGAGGACTCGAGGGATGTGGGGAAGGAATGTACCTGGAGGAGGGATGGGGGCAGGAATGGGGGCAGTTCTTGGGTTAAGGACAAGGACCTCCATCCCCAGCAGATATGGGTGGTAAGGGGGAGGGGGTGGGGGTCGCTGACCATAGACTGGAGCTGTGGGGAGGGGATGCTCCCAGGGCTGGCACTGACTGCAGAGAATGGCCCACATCTTGCAGGTTCCTGCCCCAGCCCACCACCCCCTCGAGTTTCTTTTCTTTCTTTTTTTTTTTGAGATGGGGTCTTATTCTGTCGTCCAGGCTGGAGTGCAGTGGCACAGTCATGGCTCGCCCTCCTGGGCTCGAGCAGTCCTCCTGCCTCCCTGCCTCAGCCTGGGACCCGAGTAGCTGGGACCTTGGGTGTGTGCCACCACTCCTGGCTGATTTTTTGATTTTTTTTTTTTTTTTTTTTTTTGGTAGAGACAGAGGTCTCCTTATGCTGCCCAGGCTGGTCTTGAACTCCTGGGCTCAAACAATCCTCCCACCTGGGCCTCCAAAAGTGCTGGGATTACCAGTGTGAGCCACCACACCAAGCTGTTCCCTGTCAAGTTTCTCTGCACAAAATGTTCCCTTTTCAGGGGAGGGGCCCATCTGTTTGTGTAAGATCGCCCCTTCCTGTGTGTTCTCTGGGTCTCTTCAGCCTGTGGTCCAGTGTCCAGCACCGCCATGCTGACTGGGTGACTGGAGACAGGAATGATGGAAGGTTGGGGAGGGCCTGGGCAGGGAAATCTGGGGCCACCTCTGGAGGGTGTCCTGCTGTTCTTGCTGGCCAGCAGCCGTATTCACAGGGCCTTCCTGTGCCCCCGCTTCCCAGTGCAGGGGTGGCCTCAGCTCCTGCCTGCTTTCCCCTGCAGATGGCGAGGGGACTGACCTGTTTGCCGTGGCTGTGCATGAGTTCGGCCATGCTCTGGGCCTGGGCCACTCCTCAGCCCCCAACTCCATCATGAGGCCCTTCTACCAGGGCCCAGTGGGTGACCCAGACAAGTACCGCCTGTCTCAGGATGACCGTGATGGCCTGCAGCAGCTCTATGGTAGGGGGAGGGGGCCTGCCCCAAACCATCACGTGCCCTACGCAGTGTTCTCTGCAGCAGGGCCAGGGGACCCACACTTGCCTAACTCTTTCCCCACAGGGAAGGCACCCCAAACCCCACATGACAAGCCCACAAGGAAGCCCCTGGCTCCTCCCCAGCCCCCGGCCGCGCCCCCAGATAGGTGAGTCCCCCACCACCTGTGACCTTGGGTGACGTGCTGCCCAGCCTTAGTGCCCTCAGATGGGGATGGTGGGGTCCCTGCCTTGGAGGAAACCAGCCCCCAGTGTCTGCTCACCTCTCCTTTCCTCCCCAGCCCATCCTCCCCCATCCCTGATCGATGTGACGGCAATTTTGACGCCATCGCCAACATCCGAGGGGAAACTTTCTTCTTCAAAGGTGAGTCATTTCTCATGTCCCCTGACCTCACATGTGTTGACTTCCTACCCACTTCAAGTGACCCACTGGAGCTGTGGGCTTACCCTGGAAGTGAAACTTTTTTTTCTTCTCCTTCTTTGGGACAGAGTATTGCTTTCTTGCCTGGGCTGAAGTGCAGTGGTGTGATCATGGCTCACTGCAGCCTCAAAATACTGGACTCAAGCGATCCTCCCACCTCAGCCTCCCAGGTAGCTGGGACCACAGGCACAGGCCACCACGCCTTGCTAGTAATTTATTTTTTATCTTGTAGACATGGGGGGTCTCACTATGTTGCCCAGGCTGGTCTCAAACTCCTGGCTCAAGTGATTCTCCCATCAGCCTCCCAAGGTGCTAGGATTACAGGTCTGAGCCACCAGGCCCCACCAGTGTGACTTTTAGTGCTAAAAAGGGAAAAGCCCCAGGCAGGCCAGGAGGGGCTGGTCACCCTAGATCCACTGCACCCTTGATTTCCAGATGGGAGCCCTCCCACCCAGCCGCACAGCCCGGGAGAGGAGACCTCCTGCTATTTCATGCCTTTCTGCCGACCCTTTCGTCCCTTGCAGGCCCCTGGTTCTGGCGTCTCCAGCCCTCGGGACAGCTGGTGTCCCCGCGGCCCGCGCGGCTGCACCGCTTTTGGGAGGGTCTGCCCGCCCAGGTGAGGGTAGTGCAGGCCGCCTATGCCCGGCACCGAGACGGCCGAATCCTCCTCTTTAGCGGTGAGTGAGGCGGGCGGCGGGGCTCGCTGGGGCCGGCACGGGGAGCCCACCCTGACCTCCCGGCCTCCGCGCTGCAGGTCCCCAGTTCTGGGTGTTCCAGGACCGGCAGCTGGAGGGCGGAGCGCGGCCGCTCACCGAGCTGGGGCTGCCCTGGGGGGAGGAGGTGGACGCCGTGTTCTCGTGGCCGCAGAATGGGAAGACCTACCTGGTCCGTGGCCGGCAGTACTGGCGCTACGACGAGGCGGCGGCGCGCCCGGACCCCGGCTACCCTCGTGACCTCAGCCTCTGGGAGGGCGCGCCCCCTTCCCCCGACGATGTCACCGTCAGCAACACAGGTGGGGAGCGCGGGGACCTGCGGGTTACTGGGCCTGGGGGTGGGGAGAGGGGTGCGGGGAATGAGGACATGGAGGCCACCCTGGGGTGATGGGGGTCTTTGGGCAGCAGGGCGGGGCGGGGCGGGGCAGGCCCGGGACTCAAGCTCTGCTCTTCCAGGTGACACCTATTTCTTCAAGGGCGCCCACTACTGGCGCTTCCCCATGGGCAGCATCAAGTCCGAGCCGAATGCCCCCCAGCCCATGGGGCCCGAGTGGCTGGACTGCCCCGCCCCCAGCGCTGGACCCCACGCCCCCAGGCCCCCCAAAGCGACCCCGGAGTCCAGAGGCTGCGATTGTCAGTGCGAGCTCAACCAGGCCTCAGGACGGCGGCCGGCGCCCCTCCCGCTGCTCCTCCTGCCCCTGCTGGTGGGAGGCGTCGCCTCCCGCTGATGGGCCCATCCCGGCGGAACAGCGCCCTCCGCTGCCGAGTCAGCCGCCGCTGGACCTGGTCGGGATTGTGAGGCGCTGCGGGGGCCCCTTGTCTGTTCCCAGGGACTGGGGCTTGCGCGCGGACTAAGCGAGACGGTTCTCCCGCGGAGCGGCGGCGGCGGGGACTGGTCGCCCTTGGCGCTGGGCTCAGCCTCCGCTGGGTCCCGCTCTCGGCCACCTCCGGAGCCCGCGCCAGGGGGCGCCCGCGCGCAGAGACCAAGCGTCGGTCACCGCCCCCGTCCTTCCTCCCCGAAGCCGCCAGGGGGCGGTGGGACCATCCCGAGCCCGGAAGGGGCGGCGGTTGTGGGGGGCGGCGGGCCCGCGGCGTCACCCGAAGGGAACAGCTGTCCTCCACCGCGCGCTGCCTTCGCAGGACCGTCCTTTTCCGGGAAGAGCCAGCTTTTCTCCGAGCGCAGTCCCAGGACTCCCCGCAGCCCCGCCCCGCCTGACCCCTGTGCCTGGCGTTCCTGGATCGTTAGAGCTCAGCCCTGACTGCGAAGCTGGTCTCTCTCCCACCCGCGGTTTCTCACCCGATTCTGCTCCCACGACGCCCCCCTATAGTCACTGTCACTTTGGTGAGGACCCGGGACTCAGATCCGGACCCAGCTCCAGAGACCACCCATGAGGACCCATGCTCCATATCTTGGGTGGTGGCATCAGTGCCTGGAGGGACCCCATTAACCTGGTTTCCGTCCTCCCCAGGCCACCCAGCCTGGGCACCTTCCTGGTCCCAGAACTGGCTCCCATTTAATTGGGCACCCTTCTATCCCCAAGAAGCCTTTCCCTGCTTGCACCCTGGAGAGAACAGCGTGGATCCCATCAACTCAACGCTGGTGGAAAGACGGGGACCAACCCTGGCTCAGGCGCAGTCACTGCCTCCTCAGCACTCCTGGGTGGCCCTAGTTCTAGAGTGAGGGGTGGATGGAACCTGGGGCCACCTTGTTCACCCTGTCCCCACTCCCCACAGATTGAGGATCTAAATGATTGCATCTGTAACTATTCTTCTAGACTATTCCACATCAGAATCACCGAGAAATTTAAATTTGCAGATCCCACACCTTATGCTGAATCCTCACTCAGGGTGGGGTCAGGAAACGCATTTTCACTAGTTAGGACTGTGGGGGCCAGCCGCTGGCTGTCTCGTAGCATTTCTGTGGCTCTGCAGTGTTCCGCCACCACAGGACCAATCTCTTCATATCTTCTCCGCAGAGCCACACTGACGGCCTGACCTCCACGAGTAGAGTCACTTAGGGGCCATTTCCTAGGTTGCCATCCAGCCTCAGTGGCCCCACAGTGCTTCCCGGAGCCAAGGCTGTGGCAGCCACCAGGAAGGGTTGCCCCAGTTGCTCATACAAACAGATCAGCTTGAGGATGGAAGACAGGAGGCTTTGGTCAGTTACCTGGGCATTCTAGGCTGCTAGGAAATGATGTTAGGCCTCTGTCAGTTTCTTTTCCATGTATGAGGAGGCAGAATTTTTTTTATTTTAGAAGCTTATTCATCCCACTCAGGACAATAAAAATGAATAGACAGGCCAGGTGCAATGGCTCACACCTGTAATCCCAGTACTTACGGAGGCCAAGGCAGGTAGATCACGAGGTCAACAGCGGGAGACTATCCAGGTCAATATGATGAAACCCTATCTCTACTAAAAATACAAAAATTAGCTGGACTTGGTGGCACTGCCCTGTAGTCTCAGCTATTCGGAAGGCTGAAGCAAGAGAATTGCCTGAACCCAGGAGGCAGAGGTTGCAGTGAGCCGAGACTGGGCCATTGCACACCAGCCTGGTGACAGAAGGAGACTCTGTCTAAAAAAGAAGAATAGACAGAAATCCTTCTTCTGAGCATTGATGGACCTGGGGAGAAGTGTGGTGGTGGGAACTGGCCTGACCTGAATCTCCTCGCTTTGCAGAAGGAATCCAGGGTTGCTGAAGAATCTAAAAACAAAGAGTTGGGAGGTTCAGTGGCTCATGCCTGTTATCCCAGCACTGTAGGGGGCCGAGGCAGGCAGATCATTTGAGGTCAGGAGTTTGAGACCAGCCTGGCCAACATGGTGAAACCCTGTCTGCACTAAAAATATATTTTAAAAAATTAGCCCGGCATGGTGGTACAAGTCCATAATCCCAGCTACTCAGGAGGCTGAGGCAGGAGAGTCACTTGAACCTGAGGGAGGTTGCTGTGAGCCGAGATCGCGCCACTGCACTCCAGCCTGGGTAACAGAGCAAGACTCTGTCTCAAAAAAAAAAAAAAAGAAGAAGAAGAAAAAGAGGCCAGGCGCGGTGGCTCAAGCCTGTAATCCCAGCACTTTGGGAGGCCGAGGCGGGTGGATCACGAGGTCGAGAGATCGAGACCATCCTGGTCAACATGGTGAAACCCCGTCTCTACTAAAAATACCAAAAATTAGCTGGGCATGGTGGCGCGTGCCTGTAATCCCAGCTACTCAGGAGGCTGAGGAAGGAGAATTGCCTGAACCCAGGAGGCGGAGGTTGCGGCGAGCCGAGATCGCACCATTGCACTCCAGCCTGGGTAACAAGAGCGACACTCTGTCTCAAAAAAAAAAAAAAAAAAAAAAGAAGAAGAAGAAAAAGAAGGAAGAGTGGGAGGAGGAAGCAGAGAGGAACCCAAAAGTTGGTTATGAGGCACCCAGTGGAGGGATGGCCACTGTGGAAGTGAGACTGCCTCATGACTCCATGGAGAGTTCTATAACCTTTAAAGCTTTATGTCTGCTACACAAACATGTCATGTGAAAGCGATTACTTCTATTTTCTAAATGCTGTCATTTAAAAATGGTATGTTCTCACCAGGTGCGGTGGCTCACGCCTGTAATCCCAGCATTTGGGAGGCGTAGGTGGGTGGATCAACGGAGGTCAGGAGTTCAAGGCCAGCCTGGCCAGCATGTGGAAGCCCTGTGTCTACTAAAAATACAAAAATTAGCCAGGCCTGGTGGCATGTGCTTGTAATTGCACCTACTCTGGAGGCTGAGGCAGGAGAATTGACTAAACCTGGGAGGCAGAGGTTGCGGTGAGCCAAGATCACGCCACTGCACTCCAGCCTGGTCAACAGAGTGAGACTTCGACTCAAAATAAATAAATAAAATAAAAAGCCAGGCATGGTGGCTCATGCCTATAATCTCAGCTTTTGGGAGGCCGAGGCGGATCACAAGGCCAAGAGATCAAGACCATCCTGGCCAACGGGGTGAAACCCAGTCTCTTCTTTTTTTTTGTAAAAATATAAAAATTACCTGGACATGGTGGCAGGTACCTGTAATCGCAGCTACTCAGGAGGCTAAGGCAGGTGAATTGCTTGAACTCAGGAGGCAGAGATTGCAGTGGGCCGAGATCGTGCCACTGCACTTTAGCCTAGACAACACAGCAAGACTCTATCTCAAAAAAGAAAAAAATAAAGTAGATGAGTGGTTGTCCATGGAAATGAGGACTGGTGGTGATGTCTCAGAGGGCAGAATTTCTCTCACATGATGAAAATGTTCTCAAACGGGTGGTGGTGATAGTCACACAGTTCTCTGCTTTGAATCGCACAGCTTGATGAGTAAATTGCATTGCCTGTGAATCACGTCACCATAAAGCCATAAAAACCGGGAACAGTCTGGATGGATGACAAGATGCCTTTGGATGGTGGCCTTTGTGAGAGTCACAGAGGGGCTAGGGTTGCCGGGCGAGAGTCAGTCTCTTGGAGCTGAAGCCTAGAGCAAGACTTTGAGCTGGTGCGGCAGTGGCTTCCTTCTCTCACCCACTCTACAGTTCAGAGATGGCTCAGGGAAAGATCTGGACTTCCTAACTGTGGAGAGGGGGCTGCACGCAGTGGAATGGACTCCTAAGTAGCAGGCAGGTGACAACCAGTGTCTAGTCCACCCAAGTGAAGATTTCCCCAGAAAAGCGTGGTTTCCAGGTTCTGTCTCTCCAGGGCCCCTTTGATAATACAATGGGATACATTGTGTCCACGCTAGGCTAATTTTTTTTCTATTTTTAGTGCAGACAGAGTTTCACCATGTCACCCAGGCTGGTCTCAAACTCCTAACCTTGCGACCTGCCTGCCTCGGCCTCCCAAACTGCTGGATTTCTTGCGTGAGCCACCACGACTGACAGACCCCTGCCCTGTCTTGATATTGGTGTGGGTAGGGTGTGCCCAGCCCCTGAGCTGGGGGTGCAGGGCTGGGATCGACAGCCCAGCTAGGGGCTGCCCCAGCTTCCCCAGCACACAGTAGCAGAGCCCTGCCTTCAACTCAAGGCACGATGGGGGCCCTGGCCTGCTGACCAAGCAGACACAGCCATTGTGTCACTGCTGTGGAGGAGAATGCAGAGGAGGGGACTCTGGGAAAAGTCCCTCCTGTCCATGGTGCTTTGGCTCAGACACCAACACCTGTGCGCTTCCGTCTCCCAGACTCAGGAAAAGGCTGAGAGGCCTGGGTGTGGCCAGAGCCTGGGGCTGACACCCCCACCTGCAGACCCTGAATGGTACCCCCATTCCACAGGAGCTCACTCCTCTACTTGAAAAAGAGATGGCCGGGCGTGGTGGCTCAAGCCTGTAATCCCAGCACTTTGGGAGGCCGAGGCGGGTGGATCACGAGCTCAAGAGATCGAGACCATCCTGGTCAACATGGTGAAACCCCGTCTCTACTAAAAATACTCAAAATTAGCTGGGCATGGTGGTGCGTGCCTGTAATCCCAGCTACTCAGGAGGCTGAGGCAGGAGAATTGCCTGAACCCAGGAGGCGGAGGTTGCGGTGAGCCGAGATCGCGCCATTGCACTCCAGCCTGGGTAACAAGAGTGAAACTCCGTCTCAAAAAAAAAAAAAAAAAGAAAAGAAAAAGAGATGAATTATGGTGCAGAGGCAACAGACCGCCTGTCCAGGAAGTTGAGGATCCCGAAACCCAAGGAGGGCTTCCAGGCCGTGCTGCAGTGGCTGCAGACGTGGTGCCAGATGGCTCTGGCCTGGGTGAAGAAGGGGGCAGACCTGGTCCATGAAGTGCAGACCTTCTGGAAAGAGTTTGAGAGTTTCTGCTGCTCTCTGGCAGAGCTCTTCATGTCCTTTTTCCAGCCCTTAAGGAGCCTCACGATGGGGAAGGGGGAGCTGACACCCTAGAAGTGCTCTGAACCCCAGCAAAGCTACTGACACCACCTTTGCCCTCCCTGTCACCATGTACCCACCCGGACCCCTCCCTCTGCTCTCCTGTGCCCCACCCCCCTCCTGGCGTTCCTGCTGCAGCTCTGACCTGGCACTGTCGCAACAGCATCTTAATAAAACTTGCTTATACTTACCTGGCAGAGGAGATACCGTGATCACAAAGGTGGTTTTCCCATGGCAAGGCTTATCTGTTTCTGTATTAGTCCATTTTTCACACCACTATAAGGAATGCCTGAGACTGGGTAATTTATGAAGAAAAGGTTAATTGACTCACAGTTCTACAGGGCAGGGGAGGCCTGAGGAAACTTACAATCATGGGGGAAGGTGAAAGAGAATCAAGGCACGTTCTACATGGCAGCAGGAGAAGCGGGCAGGGGGAACTGCCAAACACTGTTTTATTTATTTATTTTTTTGAGATGGAGTTTTGCTCCTGTTGCCCAGGCTGGAGTGCACTGCACAGGCCGTGCTCCTGTGATCACAGCCACCCAATACCACAAAACACTTGGCAAATTTTTTATTTTTAGTAGAGACAGGGTTTCTCCATGTTGGTCAGGCTGGTCTCGAACTCCTGACCTCGGGTGATCCACCCGCCTCAGCCTCTCAAACTGCTAGGATTACAGTTGTGAGCCACCGCACCCAGTCCACTGACAAACACTTTTAAAACATTAGATCTTGTGAGAACTCACTTACTTACACAATACTGCTGCATTGCCAGGACCCCATGAGAGCTCTGCCTGTCTGGGAACAGGTGCCCTTCTTTGGCCTTCCCCGGGGCTCCTGCCTCTGGAAAGTATCCCAGACGTGAGATACGCAGGAGTTGCTCATTCATTTGTAAAATGGTTATATGAAGGCCACGCTTTATTTATGGGGGACTGGGATACTAGATGACATTAGAAGTATCTGTGATTTATTAGGTTCTATTACATTATTATTTTTTTCTTTTTTTTTGAGACAGAGTCTCACTCTGTCGCCCAGCTAGAGTGTAGTGGTGTGATCTCAGCTCAGTATAACCTCCACCTCCCAGGGTTTAAGCGATTCTCCTGCCTCAGCCTGCTGAGTAGCTGAGATTACAGGCATGCACCACCATGTCCAGCTAGCTTTTGTACTTTTAGTAGAGATAGGGCTTCACCATGTTGGTCAGGCTGGTTTCACGCTCCTGACCTCAGGTGATTCACCCCCCTCAGGCTCCGAAAGTACTGGGATTACAGGAGTGAACCACTGTGCCCAGCCACCAAACACTTTTTCTTTCCTTCTTTTTTTTTTTTTTTTGTAATGGAGTTTCACGCTTGCTGCCCAGGCTGGAGTGCAACGGTGAAATCTCGGCTCACTGCAACATCCACCTCCCAGATTCAAGTGATTCTCCTGCCTCAGGCTCCTGAGTAGCTGGGATTACAGGCGTGTGCCACCACGCTTGGCAAATTTTGTATTTTTAGTAGAGATGGGGTTTCTCCACGTTGGTCAGCCTGCTCTCAAACTCCTGACCTCAGGAGATCCACCCGCCTCAGCCTCTCAAACTGCTGGGATTACAGTTGTGAGCCACCGCACCCAGTCCACCGCCACTTTTAAAACACTAGATCTTGTGAGAACTCACTCGCTTACACCAGAACGACTTGGGGGAAACCACCCCCATGATCCAGTCACCTCCCACCGGGCCCCTCCCTTGACATGTCGGGATTACAATCTGAGATGATTTGCGTGAGGACACAGAGCCACGCCATCTCATTCTGCCCTGGGCCCTCCCAAATCACACGTCTTTCTCACGTGTCAAATCACCATCATGCCTTCCCAACAGCGCCCAGTCTAAACTCATTCCAGCATTAACCCAAAAGTCCAAATAAAAAGTCTCACCTGTGAAAGGCAAGTCTTTCCTGCCTGTGAGCCTGTAAATTCAAAAGCAAGTTAGCTACTTCCAAGATACACTGAGAGTACAGGCATTGGGTAAATGTTCCCATTCCAAACAGGAGAAAATGGCCAAAAAACGGACTATAGGCCCCAGGCAATCCCAAATCCAGCTGGGCGGTCCTTACATCTTAAAACTCTCAAATGATCTCTTTGACTCCATGTCGCACATCCAGGGCACGCTGATGAAGGGGCGGTTCCCAGGGCCTTGGGCAGCTCCGCCCCTGTGGCTCTGCAGGGTCCAGCCCCCGCAGCTGCTTTCATGAGCTGGTGCTGAGTGCCTGTGGCTTTTCCAGGCACACGGTACAAGCTCTTGGTGGATCTGCCATTCTGGGGTCTGGAGGACAGTGGTCCTCTTCTCACAGCTCCAGTAGGCAGTGCCCCAGTGGGGACTCAGTGTGGGGGCTCCAACCCTGCATTTCCCCTCTGCATTGCCCCAGCAGCTGTTCTCCATGAGCCCCGCCCCTGCAGCCGACTTCTACCTGGTGGTGCAGGCACTTCCCTACATCTAGGCGGAGGCCCCCGAAGCTCAGCTCTTGTCTTCTGCACACCTGCCGGCCCACAGAGCAGCCGGGCCCTGGGCCTACCTTTAATTTCTCTCCAGAAAATGGGTTTTTCTCTTCTACCACAGGATTAGGCTGCAAATTTTCCATTTCTTTACGCTCTGCTTCCGTTTTAAACTTAAGTTCTAATTTCAAACCATCTCTTTGTCAGTGTGTATAACCATATGGTTTCAGGAAAAGACAGGTCACCTGCGGAATGCTTTGTTGCTTAGGAATTTCTACTGCTGGCCAGACTTGGTGGCTCACGTCTGTAAACCCAGCACTTTGGGAGGCCGAGGCGAGTGGATCACGATGTCAGGAGATCAAGACCATCTGGCTAACATGGTGAAATGCTGTCTCTACTAAAAATACAAAAATTAGCTGGGCGTGATGGTGCGTGCCTGGAATCCTAGCTACTTGGGAGGCTGAGGCAGAAGAATCACTGGAACCAGGGAGTCACAGATGTCAGTTATCTGAGATCGTGCCACTGTATTCCAGCCTGGTGACAGAGCAAGACTCCGTCAGAAAGAAAGAAGGAAATAAATAAATAAATAAGTAAACAAATTTCTACTGCAAGACATGCTAAATCATCTCTCTCAAGTTCAAAGTTTCACAGGGCAGGGGCCACCAATCTCTTTGCTAAAGCATAGCAAGGGTCTTTTTTTTTTTTTTTTTTTTTTGAGACGGAGTTTCGCTCTTGTTACCCAGGCTGGAGTGCAATGGTGCCATCTCGGCTCACCACAATCTCCGCCTCCTGGGTTCAAGCAATTCTCCTGCCTCAGCCTCCCTAGTAGCTGGGACTACAGGCACGCGCCACCATGCCCAGCTAATTTTTTTTTTTTTTTTTTTTTTTGCATTTTTAGTAGAGACAGGGTTTCACTACATTGACCAGGATGGTCTCGAACTCTCGACCTCGTGATCCACCCGCGTTGGCCTCCCAAAAAAAAACTAAAACAAATAGCTGGGAGTGGTGGCGTGTGTTGTAATCCCAGCTACTTGTGAGGCTGAGGAAGGAGAATCGCTTGAACCTGGGAGGACGACGTTGCAGTGAGCCGAGATTGTGCCATCGTACACCAGCCTGGGCAACAAGAGCAAAACTCCATCAAACAATCACATCTGGTGAGAACTCACTTTCACCAGAATAGCATGGGGGAAACCGCCCCCATGATCCAATCACCTCCTCCCAGGTGCCTCCCTTGACATGTGGGAATTACAGTTCCAGATGATATTTGGGTGGGACACCAAGCCAAACCACCTCGATTGCACTCCGGATGTGCTGACCCCTGTGACTTCTGCAAGTGTGGGACACTTGACTGCATCATCTGTGGTAGTGGGCACTGCGTTCATACTTTCCCCTGAAAGGAACACAATAAAATAACAACAGTTGCTCAAATGGAATCAGGTGCCTGCGTTCAGGCTTCTCTGAGAGGCGGGCACAGGGAGGCAGGGGGCCCAGTAGTGACAGCAGAGAATGTGGCTCTGATGGACATACTCGGGTTCCGGATGTGGAAGGGCAAGGCCAGGCCCCTGACTTCCTTATGGATAATGGTGCATGGGTCTCGGTAACCTGGTGAGTTGGTTGAGGACTAGAGGATTTCAGCCTGGTGCTTCCTTGATCACAGAGCCAGAAGCACAGAAGCCGGCCCAGGACTCAAGCTCTGCTCCCCCAGGTGACACCTATTTCTTCAAGGGCGCCCTCTACAGGCGCTTCCCCAAGGGCGACATGAAGACCGAGCCAAACGCCACCCCGCAAAGCCCGTGGGGCCCAAGTAGCTGGGCTGCCCCGCCCCCAGCTCTGGCCCGCGAGCCCTGAGCCCCCCAAAGCATGCCCCGAGTCCGAAACCTGCGATTGTCGGTGCGAGCTCAACCAGGCCTCAGGACCGCAGCCCGCGCCCCTCCCGCTGCTCCTCCTGCCCCTGCCGGTGCGAGGTGTCGCCTCCCGCTGATGGGGGGCCCATCCGGACGGAACAGCGCCCTCCACTGCCGAGTCACCCGCCGCTGGACCTGGGTGGGGGTTGTGACGAGCTGCGGAGGCCCCTTGCCTGTTCCCAGGGGCCGGGGCTCCCGCGTGGACTAAGCAGCGCGGATCTCTCCCGGAGCGGCGGCGGCGGGAATTGGTGGCACCTGGCGCTGTGCTCAGCCTCAGCTGGGTCCTGCGCTCCCCGCGCCCCCTCCGGAGCCCGCACGCGGAGACCACGCGTCAGTCACCGCCCCCGTCCTTCCCTCCCTGTGGCCACCAGGGGGCGGTCGGACGCTCCTGAGCCCGGGGAGGGGCGGCGAGGAGGGCGGGCCCACTGGGTCACACGAGGGAAACAGCTGTCCCCCGCGCCCGCTGCCCCCGCAAGACCGTCCTATTCCGGGAAGAGCCGGCTTTTCTCGGAGACTCTCCGCAGCCCCGCGCCTCCTGCCCGCTGTGCCTGGCGCTCCTGGATCGTTTGAACACCGGCCTGACTGCGAAGCTGGGCCCAGCCCCTCTCCCACCTGCTCCCACGATGCCCCCCTATAGTCACTGCCACATTGGTGGGGACCCGAGACCCAGCCTCGGACCCAGCCCAGAGACCACCCTGAGGACCCAGGTGCCACGTCTTGGGTGCTGGCATCAGTGACTGGAGGGAAGACCCTTGCTCTCCAGACTCCGTTTACCTCGTTTCCAGTCACCCCACTTCCCCTCCAGGCCACCCAGCCTCCCTGGGTTCAGAACTGCCTCCCATTCAACTGGGCACCCTTCTGTTAGGGTCACAGCAAGGCAAGTGCATAGACCCCCTCCCCGTTCTCCGCTGCTAAGCCGAGCTCATAACAAAAACTGCCTCAAGCCTGGTGAACAGGGCACCAGGATGTGGTCGCACCCAGCTCTGAAACTCGGCATGTTAACCCAAGTAAACAGAATGTCAGCCCCTGAGAACCAAGTTGCGGTTTGTCTTAGAATAGCACCCAGCTACCTGCAAACCCTCTCTGTAACCCCTTAGTCTAAGCCAGGCTGCTGCCTTTACTGCCTGTGCTGAGACAGCCTGGCAGGTTAAAATAAACTTGCTAAACCTGACCCTGGGTCTGTCTCTCCATCCTGAGTCAACCTTACACAGTCTATCCCCAAGAAGCCCTTCCCTGCTTGCTCCCTGGAGAGAACAGCGTGGATCCCATCGACTCAACGCTGGTGGAAAGACGGGGACCAGCCCTGGCTCAGGCGCAGTCACTGCCTCCTCAGCACTCCTGGGTGGCCCTAGTTCTAGAGTGAGGGGTGGGTGGAACCTGGGGCCACCTTGTTCACCCTGTCCCCACTCCCCACAGATTGAGGATCTAAATGATTGCTTCTAGAACTATTCTTCTAGACTATTCCACATCAGAATGACTGGAAAGTCATAACTAGGCACAGTGGCTCATACCTCTGATTCTAGCACTTTGGGAGGCCAAGGCGGACAGATCACTTGCAGTCAGGAGCTCGAGACTCCCTGATCAATGTTGGTAACAGATGCTGGGTGCCACAAAGAAAAATTAGTACTGAGACAGAGGATCTTTCAGCAACATAATTTTTACTTCCTGGACTTCAGGAAGGGTACCCTCGCTAGCCATCAGGCCATGAGAGCTCAATGAACAAAGGAAAACACACAAATTTATCCCTTACCCATTTGGGGTCATCCTTACTGCTGTGTCTTATCTCCATTGGCTGGAGTCAGACCTCACAATCTAAACTAAAACCCGATTGGCTAAAAACGTCAAACTTTCTAAAGAGGTAAAAGCAATGGAGAGCTGGGACATGCCTGTGAGCAGGTACAACACAGATATACAGCACGTACACACAGCAGGTGTGCTAATAGCTTAACAAAGTTATTAGCACACCTACTCTTTAACAAGAAAGGAAACTATTAAAAGGAACTTTTCTACTTCCTACAACCAACATGGTGAAACCCCATCTCCACCAAAAATATTTTCTGGGCATGGTGGCACATGCCTGTGGTCCCAGCTACTTGGGAGGCTGAGGCAGGAGAATTGCTTGAACCCAGGTGGCAGAGTTTGCAGTGAGCTGAGATCGTCCCACTGCACTTGAGCCTAGACAGCACAGCAAGACTCCATCTCAAAATAGAAAAAAAAAAAAGAAAGAAAGTAGATGAGTGGTTGTCCATGGAAATGAGGATTGGTGGTGATGTCTCAGAGGGCAGAATTTCTCTCACATGATGAAAATGTTCTCAAACGGGTGGTGGTGATAGTCACACAGTTCTCTGCTTTGAATCGCACAGCTTGATGAGTAAATTGCATTGCCTGTGAATCACGTCACCATAAAGCCATAAAAACCATTAACAGTCTGGATGGATGATAAGATGCCTTTGGATGGTGGCCTGTGTGAGAGTCACGGAGGGGCTAGGGTTGCCGGGCGAGAGACAGTCTCTTGGAGCTGAAGCCTAGAGCAAGACTTTGAGCTGGTGCGGCAGTGGCTTCCTTCTCTCACCCACTCTACAGTTCAGAGATGGCTCAGGGAAAGATCTGGACTTCCTAACTGTGGAGAGGGGGCTGCACGCAGTGGAATGGACTCCCGAGTGGCAGGCAGGTGACAACCAGTGTCTAGTCCACCCAAGTGAAGATTTCCCCAGGAAAGCGTGGTTTCCAGGTTCTGTCTCTCCAGGGCCCCTTTGATAATACAATGGGATACATTGTGTCCAAGCTGAAGTCCTCACCCCAGGACCTCAGAATGTGCCCTTATTTGGAAACAGGGTCATTATGGAGGCGGTGAAGGGACAATGAGTTCACTGGGGTGGACCCTACTTCAATGTGACTGGTGTCCTTATGAAAAGGGGAAGTGTGGACAGTCATAGCCAGAGAGAACACTATGAAGATGAAGATGGCCATGGTCAAGGGCAGGACAGAGGCCGGAACAGGATCCCAGCTCCTCGCCCTCAGAAGGACGCAGCACCGTCCACCCTGACCTTGGACTTCCAGCCTGCAGACGGTGCGAGAAGAGATGTCCTGAGTCAGGGCCGCTTGTTGTGCTACTGCCTTAGGGCAGCCCCAGGAAGCCATCCCGAGGTCAAGGCTGTGGTTGTGCTCAGCTGGGGGGAGGGGAGGCTTGGCCACCAGGGTGGGGATTGAGGAGGAGGTGGGAGGCCCAGCCAGGCTGGTGGGTCAGAACCCGTGGGGCTAGAGAAGCCGGCAGGGGAGCCGCAGGATTGCTGGCACCAGTGACCTTCGGCCCCCGCCGGCCTTCCCTTGGCCCAGAAGGGGTCAGGAGAGCCTGGCCAGCCAAGCTCAGACGGTCAGTGGGACGCCTTGCACCCTGCAGAGGGTCCTATCTTGTCCCGCAGGTAGATCTTCATCACCACTAGCCGCCCCTTGGACCTGCACAGGCCCCTGCCCTCCAGGGCCTCCTTTTAGGTCTGGCAGGTCCTGCCTCCTCATCCAGAAGCTTCTCTGGCCCTCTGGAGTCAGGGCACACCTCAGGCAAGGACAGTGCCCACATTCCTTTGTCCTCAGAGTCCACATGGCTGAGGTCTCCTTCCTGGGCTCCGGGAGTTTCCCCAGCCTCTGTCCCTCCCCGTCTCAGGCAGTCGGGTGGGAGAAGCAGCCCATTCCTGAGCTCAGATATCCCACCCCAGCTCAGAGGGTGCAGGACCACAGCAAGGGACGGACCTCATCCCTCCCAGGGACTGCAGACCACTGTCTCTCTCAGGTGAGTCTCTGTCTCTGTCTGTCTCTTTTTCAGCCACTCAGCCCCGCCTCCTGCCCTGGGAGAGGCTCCACCCATTCCTCCCCCTCCACCAATAAAACCAGCTGAGTTTGTGCCAGGCTGGCTACAAAGGCAACTGTCTCAGTGGTGCTGGGTCATCCCGGGTGCGGAGTTGGGGTCTCTGAAGGTGAGGACCCTCTGGGGAGGAGGGCGCTTCTCTGAGACACTTTTCCTGACACCTGTCCCTCACCAGCAGGTCCTGGCTCCTGGAACTCTTGGCCGCCATGTGCTTCGCAAAGGTGAGTGAGAGGCTGCGTGTGCTTTTGTGGATTTGTCTGAAAAGACACCGTAAGGTCGCGTGTGCCCTAAGTATTTCCCAGCTGCCTGTGTGTGAGGCTCAGTTGGGGGCGCAGCGTGACAGGACAGCGATGGGATGAGGGTATTGTCGGGGGCGCTGGAGAAGGGCAGGGGTGCAGATGAGAGAAAGCACCAGGCCCAGGGGCCCCTCACAGCCCAGAGAGCCCGGGGCACGGGCAGGGAGCGCTCTCCTGGAAACCGCTCAGAGAACCCTCCTCGCAGGAGCTGGCTCAGCTGGGCAGGCCCGAGAGCAGGGCCCAGGCATGGGCCTGGGTGCGTCTTCCTTCCTTCCTGGGTTCCCTCCCACTTCCCGTCCTCTACCCCTGCCCCATCCTAAATGCGAGGCCCACCAGACCCTCTAGGGAACTCTGTGGCCCGTGACAATGGAGTTTTCAAGGCTGTGGCCTGGCCCAGGTTCAAGACAGGGACCCGCAGGACATGTGGCTCCCACAGGCCGGCACGTGGCTGCTTTTCCCCTGTGTCGTGGGAAGTGGGGCTGGCGGGATGGGACCTTCACTGCCTCCAAGTGTGCAGACAGCTGCCCTGCCCAGAACACCTCCCAGGCCCTGTGCAATCTGTGGTGAAGCTCACCGCTCCGCGGTCGGGGAACCCGGCATGTCACCCTCCAGACTAGGGCCTTCACATGGGGGCTCAGCGGGGAGTCTGTGTGGTGCCTCCTGCCTCTGCAGGTGCAGCCACATTTCTGCAGGAAGGAATGGCCCGGGCACTGTGGGCGCAGGTTGGCAGTTGGAAAGAGTGGCAGGTTGTAGGGTGGACCTACCTGGCACCCCTGAATCTTCATCAGCTCCTCAGAGAGGAATGGCCACTGTGACCTCCCTAAAAGTTTTTTCTTGGCCACCTCTCACCTGGGACCACAGTGGTTGTGGGAATCCCAGCTGAGCCAGCCTGCTCCAGGGCAGCGCCCATCCCCCCGGGTGTGTGCATGGAGGAGGGTGTGTGTGCAGGGAGACACCCCAGGGTCACACAGGTCCTGCTCTTGGAAGGAAGGGTCACCCAGGCCTATGCGGGCCCTGCCTTTGGGCCTGCGCAGCTGAGCTGGTCCCTGAGAGGAGGGTTCTCTGAGTGGTTTCCAGGAGAGCCCTGCCTGCCCCTGCCCTGGGCTCTCCGGGCTGTGAGGGGCTCCTGGGAGTGGCGTCTCCTCTCATCCCGCACCCCTGTCGTGTGTGTGTGTGTGTGTGTGTAACTTCTCTTGCGGGAAAGGGTTAGGTTACACATGGGGCCTGAGTGTCACCATTATTTCTGCAGATCCTGCCTGATGACATTAAGAAACTGAATGCCGACATGGTAATGCTTTTCCGCACGTCTGCTCAGGGGTGAGAGGTCTGGGGCTAAGTATGTGACACTGAGAACACTGTGGGCACCTGGAACTCGGGAGGGACAAGGATCAGGCCCTTTGATGCCAACTCTCCCTCTCTTCACAGCATCAGATGATAGATGAATTTACTGACACCATGAAAAATGAGGTATCAAAACCTGAACAGGTGGGTGGATTTTCCCTCAATCATCAGGTCAGATGTCTCTGCCCTCAGGCTCTCCACACTGTGGGGAGCTCAGGGTGAGAAGGATGAAGAGGGACCCGCAGGCTCCCTCATCCTTACCCTGGGCAAAGGCTTGCACCTTAGTGGCAGTGAGTGCACGGGTGGGGGATCTGGACCCCCAGGGACACTAAGGGAGGCATCCGAGCCCCAGGGCTCCTTGAGGAAACGACAGGGGTGGCATATGTGCCCTGGGACCCTGCTGGACCCAGTTCGGGGTATGTGGGAGCTGAGGACTGGCGGGGCGTGAGGACTCACTGGTGTTGGGTGCAGCGGAGGCTGGGCCTGGAACCATGTGCTTTGTTCCTTACAGGTGGAGTCGAGCATGAATGATCTGGAGGTGAGCCACAGCCTCCCCGTCCACCAAGCTTAGTCGCTGGGTCTCAGGCTCCACAGGTTACTAGGTCTGGGCTCTGGGTCCCCTTGACAATCACCCTGGCGCAGTGGGGGCCACAGTGAGGAGGGGGCGGCAGGAGCAGCCTGAGCACACTGTGTCCTCCTCTCCCCAGGACAAAATCAAAGAGCGCATTTTGGACACTGCGAAGGATCGTTTTCAGGGACAGCAGCCTGTGAGTATGAGGCACCCATCTGTGTGCCTTTCCTCCCTTCACCTTTGCCCTGTCTTTTCTTTGACATGGAGTCTCACTTTGTCACCCAGGCTAGAGTGCAATGGAGCGATCTGGGTTCTCTGCAACCTCCCTCTCCCAGGTTCAAGTGATTCTCCTCCCTCAGCCTCCTCAGTAGCTGGGACTATAGACGTGCACCACCATGCCGGGCTAAATTTTCTTTTCTATTTCTAGTGCAGACAGGGTTTCACCATGTTGTCCTGGCTCGTCTTGAACTCCCAACCTTTTGATCTGCCTGTCTTGTCCTCCCAAAGGGCTGGGATTTCATTTGTGAGCCACCGCACCTGGCAGACCCCTGCCCTGTCTTGATGTTGGTGTCGGCAGGGTGTGCCCAGCCCCTGAGCTGGGGGTGGAGGGCTGGGAGTGACAACGGAGCTGGGACCTGCCCCCAGCCTCCTCCAGCACACAGTGGCAGAGCCCTGCCTTCAACTCAAGCCACGATGGGGGCCCTGGCATGGTGACCAAGCAGACACAGCCAGCGTGTCACTGCCTCGGAGGGGAGTGGAGAGGACGGAACTCTTGGAAAAGTCCCTCCTGTCCATGGGGCTGTGGCTGCAAAACCAACACACGTGGGCTTTCGTCTCCCAGACTCAGGAAAAGGCTGAGAGGCCTGGGTGTGGCCAGGGCCTGGGGCTGACACCCCCACCTGCAGATCCTGAACGGTGCCCGCATTCCACAGGAGCTCACTCCTCTACTTGAAGGAGAAACGGATGCAGTACGGCGCAGAAGCAACAGACCGCCTGTTCTGGAAGTTCAGGATCCCAAAACCCAGGAGCCGGAGGAGAGCTTTTGTGACATGGTCAAGAGATGGTTCCGGGCCATGATGCAGCGGCTGCAGACCTGGTGGCAGAACTTTGTGGCCTGGTTGCAGAAGATGGTGACGTTCCTCTGGGAAAAGTTTGAGAGTTTCTGCTGCTCTCTGGCAGAGCTCCTCGGGTCCTTTTTCAGTACTAAGGAATCCCATTGAGGGGATGGAGGAGCTGACAGCCCAGCAGTGCTCTGAACCCCAGTGAAGCTTCTGATGCCACTTTTGCCCTCCCCCTAACTTCAAACCCACCCTGACCCCTCCCTCAGCTCTGCTGTGCCCTGCCCCCCTCCACACACCCAAGCCCCCTGCCTGGCAGTTCCTGCAGCAGCTCTGACCTGGCACTGTCACAAGGGCATCATAATAAAACTCTTAAACTTACCTGGCAGAGGAGATACTATGATCACAAAGGTGCTTTTCCCAGGACAAGGCTCATTCGTTGCTGTATTGGTCTGTTTTCTTTTTTCTTTTTTCTTTTTTTAGACGGAGTTTCGCTCTTGTTACCCAGGCTGGAGTGCAATGGCGCGATCTCGGCTCACCACAACCTCCGCCTCCTGGGTTCAAGCAATTCTCCTGCCTCAGCCTCCTGAGTAGCTGGGATTACAGGCACACGCCACCACGCCCAGCTTATTTTTTGTATTTTTAGTAGAGACGGGGTTTCACCATGTTGACCAGGACGGTCTCAATCTCTTGACCTCGTGATCCACCCGCCTCGGCCTCCCAAAGTGCTGGGATTACAGGCTTGAGCCACCGAGTCCGTTTTCACACTGCTGTAAGAATGCCTGAGACTGGGTAATTACAAAGGAAAGAAGTTTAATTGACTCACAGTTCCACATGGCTGGGGAGGCCTGAGGAAACTTACAATCACAAGGGAAGGTGAAAGAGAAGCAAGGCACGTTCTGCATGGCAGCAGGAGAAGCGGGGCGTTGGGAACTGCCAAGCACCTTTATTTATTTTTTTTTTTTTGAGATGGAGTGTTGCCTTGTGCAATGGGGTGACCTTGGCTTACTGCAACCCCCGCCTCCCAGGCTCAAGTGATTCTCCTACCTCAGCCTGTGGAGTAGCTGAAATTAGCCTGGCTGATTTTGTGGTTTTAGTACTGATGGGGCTTCACCATGTTGGTCGGGCCGCTCTGCCCAACATGATCTCTTTGACTCCGTGTCGCACATCCAGGGCACGCTGATGAAGGGGCGGTTCCCAGGGCCTTGGGCAGCTCCGCCCCTGTGGCTCTGCAGGGTCCAGCCCCCGCAGCTGCTTTCATGAGCTGGTGCTGAGTGCCTGTGGCTTTTCCAGGCACACGGTACAAGCTCTTGGTGGATCTGCCATTCTGGGGTCTGGAGGACAGTGGTCCTCTTCTCACAGCTCCAGTAGGCAGTGCCCCAGTGGGGACTCAGTGTGGGGGCTCCAACCCTGCATTTCCCCTCTGCATTGCCCCAGCAGCTGTTCTCCATGAGCCCCGCCCCTGCAGCCGACTTCTACGTGGTGGTGCAGGCACTTCCCTACATCGCTGAAATCTAGGCGGAGGCCCCCAAAGCTCAGCTCTTGTCTTCTGCACACCTGCCGGCCCACAGAGCAGCCGGGCCCTGGGCCTACCTTTAGTTTCTCTCCAGAAAATGGGTTTTTCTCTTCTACCACAGGATTAGGCTGCAAATTTTCCATTCCTTTACGCTCTGCTTCCGTTTTAAACTTAAGTTCTAATTTCAAACCATCTCTTTGTCAGTGTGTATAACCATATGGTTTCAGGAAAAGACAGGTCACCTGTTGAATGCTTTGTGGCTTAGAAATTTCTACTGCTAGGCCGGGTGCGGTCGCTCTCGCCTGTAATCCCAGCACTTTGGGAGGCCGAGGCAGGCGGATCACGAGGTCAAGAGATGGAGACCATCCTGTCAACATGGTGAAACCCCGTCTCGACTAAAAATTAAAAAAAAAAATTAGCTGGGCATGGTGGTGCCTGCCTGTAGTCCCAGCTACTCGGGAGGCTGAGGCAGGAGAATTGCTTGAACCCAGGAGGCGGAGGTTACGGTGAGCCGAGATAGCACCATTGCACTCCAGCCTGGGTAACAAGAGTGAAACTCCATATCAAAAAAAAAAAAAAAAAAAAAAAAAAATTTCTACTGCCGGCCAGACTTGGTGGCTCACGTCTATAAACCCAGCACTTTGGGAGGCCGAGGTGAGTGGATCACGAGGTCAGGCGATCAAGACCATTTGGCTAACATGGTGAAATGCTGTCTCTACTAAAAATACAGAAATTAGCTGGGTGTGATGGCGTGTGCCTGGAATCCTAGCTACTTGGGAGGCTGAGGCAGAAGAATCGCTGGAACCAGGGAGTCAGAGATTTCAGTTATCTGAGATCGTGCCACTGTATTCCAGCCTGGTGACAGAGCAAGACTCTTATCAGAAAGAAAGAAAGAAGGAAATAAATAAATAAATAAATTTCTACTGCAAGACATGCTAAATCATCTCTCTCAAGTTCAAAGTTTCACAGGGCAGGGGCCACCAGTCTCTTTGCTAAAGCATAGCAAGGGTCTTCTTTACTCCAATTCCTAGCAAGATCCTTATCTCGCTGAGACCACCTCAACCTGGACTTAATTCTCCGTATCACAATCAGCATTTTGCTCAAAGCCATTCAAGAAGTCTCTAGGAAGGTCCAAACTCTCCCACATCTTCCTGTCTTCTTCTGAGCCCTCCAAACGGCTCCAACCTCTTCCTGTCACCCAGTTCCAAAGTAGCTTCCGCATTTTCTGATTATCTGTATAGCATCGATATTAATTTTCTCTATTGATACACTTTCACACTGCTATAAAGTATACCTGAGATGGGGTCATTTATAAAGAAAAAGGATTAATTGACTCACAGTTCCAAAAATCCGAGGAGGTCTCAGGAAAACTTACAATCGTGGTGGAAGGCAAAGGACAAGCAAGGCACATCTTACATGGTGGCCGCAGAGAGAAGAGGGGGAGAGACAGGAAGCAGGGACCTGCCCAACACTTTTAAAACATCAGACCTCGGCGGGACGTGCTGGCTCACACCTGTAACCCCAGCACTTTGGGAGGCCAAAGCAGATGGATCACCTGAGGTCAGGAGTTCGAGACTAGCTTGGCCAATGTGGTGAAACTCTGTCTCTTTAAAAATACAAAAAATAGGCCGGGCGCGGTGGATCAAGCCTGTAATCCCAGCACTTTGGGAGGCCAACGCGGGTGGATCACGAGGTCGAGAGTTCGAGACCATCCTGGTCAATGTAGTGAAACACCGTCTCTACTAAAAATACAAAAAAAAAAAAAAAATTAGCTGGGCATGGTGGCGCGTGCCTGTAGTCCCAGCTACTCAGGAGGCTGAGGCAGGAGAATTGCCTGAACCCAGGAGGCGGAGGTTGCGGTGAGCCGAGATCGCACCATTGCACTCCAGCCTGGGTAACAAGAGCGAAACTCCGTCTCAAAAAAATAAAATAAAATAAAAAAATAAAAAAAATAGCTGGGAGTGGTGGCGTGCGTTGTAATCCCAGCTACTTGTGAGGCTGAGGAAGGAGAATCGCTTGAACCCGGGAGGACGACGTTGCAGTGAGCCGAGATTGTGCCATCGTACACCAGCCTGGGCAACAAGAGCAAAACTCCATCAAACAATCACATCTGGTGAGAACTCACTTTCACCAGAACAGCATGGGGGAAACCGCCCCCATGATCCAATCACCTCCTCCCAGGTGCCTCCCTTGACATGTGGGAATTACAGTTCCAGATGATATTTGGGTGGGACACCAAGCCAAACCACCTCGATTGCACTCCGGATGTGCTGACCCCTGTGACTTCTGCAAGTGTGGGACACTTGACTGCATCATCTGTGGTAGTGGGCACTGCGTTCATACTTTCCCCTGAAAGGAACACAATAAAATAACAACAGTTGCTCAAATGGAATCAGGTGCCTGCGTTCAGGCTTCTCTGAGAGGCGGGCACAGGGAGGCGGGGGGCCCAGTAGTGACAGCAGAGAATGTGGCTCTGATGGACATACTCGGGTTCCGGATGCGGAAGGGCAAGGCCAGGCCCCTGACTTCCTTATGGATAATGGTGCATGGGTCTCGGTTACCTGGTGGGTTGGTTGAGGACTAGAGGATTTCAGCCTGGTGCTTCCTTGATCACAGAGCCAGAAGCACAGAAGCCGGCCCAGGACTCAAGCTCTGCTCCCCCAGGTGACACCTATTTCTTCAAGGGCGCCCTCTACAGGCGCTTCCCCAAGGGCGACATGAAGACCGAGCCAAACGCCACCCCGCAAAGCCCGTGGGGCCCAAGTAGCTGGGCTGCCCCGCCCCCAGCTCTGGCCCGCGCGCCCTCAGCCCCCCCAAAGCATCCCCCGAGTCCGAAACCTGCGATTGTCGGTGCGAGCTCAACCAGGCCTCAGGACCGCAGCCCGCGCCCCTCCCGCTGCTCCTCCTGCCCCTGCCGGTGCGAGGTGTCGCCTCCCGCTGATGGGGGGCCCATCCGGACGGAACAGCGCCCTCCACCGCCGAGTCGCCCGCCGCTGGACCTGGGTGGGGGTTGTGACGAGCTGCGGAGGCCCCTTGCCTGTTCCCAGGGGCCGGGGCTCCCGCGTGGACTAAGCAGCGCGGATCTCTCCCGGAGCGGCGGCGGCGGCGGCGGCGGGAATTGGTGGCACCTGGCGCTGTGCTCAGCCTCAGCTGGGTCCTGCGCTCCCCGCGCCCCCTCCGGAGCCCGCACGCGGAGACCACGCGTCAGGCACCGCCCCCGTCCTTCCCTCCCTGTGGCCACCAGGGGGCGGTCGGACGCTCCCGAGCCCGGGGAGGGGCGGCGAGGAGGGCGGGCCCACTGGGTCACACGAGGGAAACAGCTGTCCCCCGCGCCCGCTGCCCCCGCAAGACCGTCCTATTCCGGGAAGAGCCGGCTTTTCTCGGAGACTCTCCGCAGCCCCGCGCCTCCTGCCCGCTGTGCCTGGCGCTCCTGGATCGTTTGAACACCGGCCTGACTGCGAAGCTGGGCCCAGCCCCTCTCCCACCTGCTCCCACGATGCCCCCCTATAGTCACTGCCACATTGGTGGGGACCCGAGACCCAGCCTCGGACCCAGCCCAGAGACCACCCTGAGGACCCAGGTGCCACGTCTTGGGTGCTGGCATCAGTGACTGGAGGGAAGACCCTTGCTCTCCAGACTCCGTTTACCTCGTTTCCAGTCACCCCACTTCCCCCCAAGGCCACCCAGCCTCCCTGGGTTCAGAACTGCCTCCCATTCAACTGGGCACCCTTCTGTTAGGGTCACAGCAAGGCAAGTGCATAGACCCCCTCCCCGTTCTCCGCTGCTAAGCCGAGCTCATAACAAAAACTGCCTCAAGCCTGGTGAACAGGGCACCAGGATGTGGTCGCACCCAGCTCTGAAACTCGGCATGTTAACCCAAGTAAACAGAATGTCAGCCCCTGAGAACCAAGTTGCGGTTTGTCTTAGAATAGCACCCAGCTACCTGCAAACCCTCTCTGTAACCCCTTAGTCTAAGCCAGGCTGCTGCCTTCACTGCCTGTGCTGAGACAGCCTGGCAGGTTAAAATGAACTTGCTAAACCTGACCCTGGGTCTGTCTCTCCATCCTGAGTCAACCTTACACAGTCTATCCCCAAGAAGCCCTTCCCTGCTTGCTCCCTGGAGAGAACAGCGTGGATCCCATCGACTCAACGCTGGTGGAAAGACGGGGACCAGCCCTGGCTCAGGCGCAGTCACTGCCTCCTCAGCACTCCTGGGTGGCCCTAGTTCTAGAGTGAGGGGTGGGTGGAACCTGGGGCCACCTTGTTCACCCTGTCCCCACTCCCCACAGATTGAGGATCTAAATGATTGCTTCTAGAACTATTCCTCTAGACTATTCCACATCAGAATCACTCGGAAATTTTGTAGAGACACTGTCTCTACAAAAAATTCAAAAAATTAGTCGTGCATGGCGGTGGCACACATCTGTAGTCCCAGCTCCTGGGAAGGCTGAGTGAAGAGAATCGCTTGAGGCAGGGAAGTCTCGGCAGCAATGAGCCGTGATCACACCACTGCACTCCACCCCGAGCAACAGATCTGCCTCAAACAAAAATTTTAAAAATTGGCCGGGCACGGTGGCTCAAGCCTGTAATCCCAGCACTTTGGGAGGCTGAGGTAGGCAGATCACTTGAGGTCAGGAGTTCGAGACCAACCTGGCCAACATGGTGAAACCTCGTCTCTACTAAAAACACAAAAATTAGCTTGGGGTGATGACATGTGCCTATAATCGCAGTTACTCAGGAGACTCAGACAGGAGCATCGCTTGAACCCAGGAGGCGGTGATTACAGTGAGCTGAGATCAAGCCACTGCACTCCATTCTGGGCCACCAAATGAGACTCTGTCTCAAAAAAAAAAAAAAAGATTGTCACATGATACCATTTCAGTCCACTATGACGGCTAAAATTAAAAAGACACAGGGAATAACAAACGTTGCTGAGGATGTGGGGGAATCAGACCCTTGTATGCCGCGGCTGGGAATCTAAAATGACACAGACACTGAAAACTAGTCTGTTGTTCCTCAAAAGGTTAAAAACACGTTTCCCATGTAACCCAGTGGTTCTTCTCCTTCATACATATCCAAGAGAACTGAAAACATATGTGCCACAGAAACTCGTACATCAACGTTCACAGCAGCATTATATTTGGAAGAGCGAAAAAGCGGAAACAACCCAAATGTCCTTCGAGGGATGAATGGAGACACCAAAATGTGCTCTGTCCATACAGTGGAATATTATGCAGCCAGAAAAAGGAATGAAGACTGTCCATGTTACAACACACGTGAACCTCAAGAACATTAGGCTCAGTGAAAGAAGCTAGACATAGAAGATCACCTAGTGTATAATTGTACTCATATGAAACATCTTAGGCAGAAAGTAGATGAGGCTAGGCACAGTGGCTCATACCTCTGATTCTAGCACTTTGGGAGGCCAAGACAGACAGATCACTTGCAGTCAGGAGCTTGAGACTCCCTGATCAATGTTGGAAACAGATGCTCGGTGCCGCAAAGAAAAACTAGCACCGAGGCAAAGGATCTTTCAGCAACATAATTTTTACTTCCTGGACTGCAGGAAGGGTTCCCTCAATAGCCATGAGGCCATGAGAGCACAATGAACAAAGGAAAACACACAAATTTGGGGTCATCCTTACTGCTGTGTCTAATCTCCATTGGCTGGAGTCAGACCTCACAATCTAAACTAAAACCCGACTGGCTAAAAACGTCAAACTTTTGGCCGGGCGCGGTGGCTCAAGCCTGTAATCCCAGCACTTTGGGAGGCCGAGGCGGGTGGATCACGAAGTCAAAAGATCGAGACCGTCCTGGTCAACATGGTGAAACCCCGTCTCTACTAAAAATACAAAAAATTAGCTGGGCATGGTGGCGCGTGCCTGTAATCCCAGCTACTCAGGAGGCTGAGGCAGGAGAATTGCCTGAACCCAGGAGGCGAAGGTTGCGGTGAGCCGAGATCGCGCCATTGCACTTCAGCCTGGGTAACAAGAGTGAAAACTCCGTCTCAAAAAAAAAAAAAAAACGTCAAACTTTCTAAACAGGTAAAAGCAATGGAGAGCTGGGACATGCCTGTGAGCACGTACAGCACAGATATCTTGGTTGAAGTACAAGGACATGGAATGTACTCTGTGCCTGTAAGCATGACGTGTGTAACATAAGATAGGGCATAACAAAGTTATTAGCACACCTACTCTTAACAAGAGAGGAAACTATTAAAAGGAACTTTTCTACTTCCTACAACTAACATGGTGAAACCCGATCTCCACCAAAAATATTATCTGGGCATGGTGGCACGTGCCTGTGGTCCCAGCTACTTGGGAGGCTGAGGCAGGAGAATTGCTTGAACCCAGGTGGCAGAGGTTGCAGTGGGCCGAGATCGTGCCACTGCTCTTCAGCCTAGACAACACAGCAAGACTCCATCTCAAAAAAGAAAAAAAATAAAGTAGATGAGTGGTTGTCCATGGAAATGAGGACTGGTGGTGATGTCTCAGAGGGCAGAATTTCTCTCACGTGATGAAAATGTTCTCAAACGGGTGGTGGTGATAGTCACACAGTTCTCTGCTTTGAATCGCACAGTTTGATGAGTAAATTGCATTGCCTGTGAATCATGTCACCATAAAGCCATAAAAACGGGGAACGGTCTGGATGGATGATAAGATGCCTTTGGATGGTGGCCTTTGTGAGAGTCACGGAGGGGCTAGGGTTGCCGGGCGAGAGACAGTCTCTTGGAGCTGAAGCCTAGAGCAAGACTTGGAGCTGGTGCGGCAGTGGCTTCCTTCTCTCACCCACTCTACAGTTCAGAGATGGCTCAGGGAAAGATCTGGACTTCCTAACTGTGGAGAGGGGGCTGCACGCAGTGGAATGGACTCCCGAGTGGCAGGCAGGTGACAACCAGTGTCTAGTCCACCCAAGTGAAGATTTCACCAGGAAAGCGTGGTTTCTAGGTTCTGTCTCTCTGGGTCCCCTTTGAGAATATAATGGGATACATTGTGTCCAAGCTGAAGTCCTCACCCCAGGACCTCAGAATGTGCCCTTATTTGGAAACAGGGTCATTATGGAGGCGGTGAAGGGACAATGAGTTCACTGGGGTGGACCCTACTTCAATGTGACTGGTGTCCTTATGAAAAGGGGAAGTGTGGACAGTCATAGCCAGAGAGAACACGATGAAGATGAAGATGGCCATGGTCAAGGGCAGGACAGAGGCCGGAACAGGATCCCAGCTCCTCGCTCTCAGGAGGACGCAGCACCGTCCACCCTGACCTTGGACTTCCAGCCTGCAGACGGTGCGAGAAGAGATGTCCTGAGTCAGGGCCGCTTGTTGTGCTACTGCCTTAGGGCAGCCCCAGGAAGCCATCCCGAGGTCAAGGCTGTGGTTGTGCTCAGCTGGGGGGAGGGGAGGCTTGGCCACCAGGGTGGGGCATGAGGAGGAGGTGGGAGGCCCAGCCAGGCTGGTGGGTCAGAACCCGTGGGGCTAGAGAAGCCGGCAGGGGAGCCTCAGGATTGCTGGCACCAGTGACCTTCGGCCCCCGCCGGCCTTGCCTTGGCCCAGACGGGGTCAGGAGAGCCTGGCCAGCCAAGCTCAGACGGTCAGTGGGACGCCTTGCACCCTGCAGAGGGTCCTATCTTGTCCCGCAGGTAGATCTTCATCACCACTAGCCGCCCCTTGGACCTGCACAGGCCCCTGCCCTCCAGGGCCTCCTTTTAGGTCTGGCAGGTCCTGCCTCCTCATCCAGAAGCTTCTCTGGCCCTCTGGAGTCGGGGCACACCTCAGGCAAGGACAGTGCCCACATTCCTTTGTCCTCAGAGTCCACATGGCTGAGGTCTCCTTCCTGGGCTCCGGGAGTTTCCCCAGCCTCTGTCCCTCCCCGTCTCAGGCAGGCGGGTGGGGGAAGCAGCCCATTCCTGAGCTCAGATATCCCACCCCAGCTCAGAGGGTGCAGGACCACAGCAAGGGACGGACCTCATCCCTCCCAGGGACTGCAGACCACTGTCTCTCTCAGGTGAGTCTCTGTCTCTGTCTGTCTCTGTGACTGTCTCTTTTTCAGCCACTCAGCCCCGCCTCCTGCCCTGGGAGAGGCTCCGCCCATTACTCCCCCTCCACCAATAAAACCAGCTGAGTTTGTGCCAGGCTGGCTACAAAGGCAACTGTCTCAGTGGTGCTGGGTCATCCCGGGTGCAGAATTGGGGTCTCTGAAGGTGAGGACCCTCTGGGGAGGAGGGCGCTTCTCTGAGACACTTTTCCTCACACCTGTCCCTCACCAGCAGGTCCTGGCTCCTGGAACTCTTGGCTGCCATGGGCTTCCCAAAGGTGAGTGAGAGGCTGCGTGTGCTTTTGTGGATTTGTCTGAAAAGACACCGTAAGGTCGCGTGTGCCCTAAGTATTTCCCAGCTGCCTGTGTGTGAGGCTCAGTTGGGGGCGCAGCGTGACAGGACAGCGATGGGATGAGGGTATTGTCGGGGGCGCTGGAGAAGGGCAGGGGTGCAGATGAGAGAAAGCACCAGGCCCAGGAGCCCCTCACAGCCCAGAGAGCCCGTGGCACGGGCAGGGAGCGCTCTCCTGGAAACCGCTCAGAGAACCCTCCTCGCAGGAGCTGGCTCAGCTGGGCAGGCCCGAGAGCAGGGCCCGGGCATGGGCCTGGGTGCGTCTTCCTCCCTTCCTGGGTTCCCTCCCACTTCCCTTCCTCTACCCCTGCCCCATCCCAAATGCGAGGCCCACCAGACCCTCCAGGGAACTCTGTGGCCCGTGACAATGGAGTTTTCAAGGCTGTGGCCTGGCCCAGGTTCAAGACAGGGACCCGCAGGACATGTGGCTCCCACAGGCCGGCACGTGGCTGCTTTTCCCCTGTGTCGTGGGAAGTGGGGCTGGCGGGATGGGACCTTCACTGCCTCCAAGTGTGCAGACAGCTGCCCTGCCCAGAACACCTCCCAGGCCCTGTGCAATCTGTGGTGATGCTCACCGCTCCGCGGTGGGGGAACCCGGCATGTCACCCCCCAGACTAGGGCCTTCACATGGGGGCTCAGCGGGGAGTCTGTGTGGTGCCTCCTGCCTCTGCAGGTGCAGCCACATGTCTGCAGGAAGGAATGGCCCGGGCACTGTGGGCGCAGGTTGGCAGTTGGAAAGAGTGGCAGGTTGTAGGGTGGACCTACCTGGCACCCCTGAATCTTCATCAGCTCCTCAGAGAGGAATGGCCACTGTGACCTCCCTAAAAGTTTTTTCTTGGCCACCTCTCACCTGGGACCACAGTGGTTGTGGGAATCCCAGCTGAGCCACCCTGCTCCAGGGCAGCGCCCATCCCCCCGGGTGTGTGCATGGAGGAGGGTGTGTGTGCAGGGAGACACCCCAGGGTCACACAGGTCCTGCTCTTGGAAGGAAGGGTCACCCAGGCCTATGTGCGCCCTGCCTTTGGGCCTGCGCAGCTGAGCTGGTCCCTGAGAGGAGGGTTCTCTGAGTGGTTTCCAGGAGAGCCCTGCCTGCCCCTGCCCTGGGCTCTCCGGGCTGTGAGGGGCTCCTGGGAGTGGTGTCTCCTCTCATCCCGCACCCCTGTCGTGTGTGTGTGTGTGTGTGTGTGTGTGTGTGTGTGTGTGTAACTTCTCTTGCGGGAAAGGGTTAGGTTACACATGGGGCCTGAGTGTCACCATTATTTCTGTAGGTCCTGTCTGATGACATTAAGAAACTGAAAGCCGGAATGGTAATGCTTTTCCGCACGTCTGCTCAGGGGTGAGGGGTCTGGGTCTCGGTCTGTGACACTGAGAACACTGTGGGCCACCTGGGACTCGGGAGGGACAAGGATCAGGCCCTTTGATGCCAACTCTCCTTCTCTTCACAGCATCAGATAGTAGACAGCTTTATTGACAACATGACAAATGAGGAATCAGAACCTGAACAGGTGGGTGGATTTTCCCACAGTCATCAGGTCAGATGTCTCTGCCCTCAGGCTCTCCACACTGTGGGGAGCTCAGGGTGAGAAGGATGAAGAGGGACCCGCAGGCTCCCTCATCCCTTACCCTGGGCAAAGGCTTGCACCTTAGTGGCAGTGAGTGCACGGGTGGGGGATCTGGACTCCCAGGGACACTACGGGAGGCATCCGAGCCCCAGGGCTCCTTGAGGAAACGACAGGGGTGGCAGATGTAGCCTGGGACCCTGCTGGACCCAGTTCGGGGTATGTGGGAGCTGAGGACTGGCGGGGCGTGAGGACTCACTGGTGCTGGGTGCAGCGGAGGCTGGGCCTGGAACCATGTGCTTTGTTCCTTACAGGTGGAGTCGAGCATGAATGATCTGGAGGTGAGCCACAGCCTCCCCGTCCACCAAGCTTAGTCGCTGGGTCTCAGGCTCCACAGGTTACTAGGTCTGGGCTCTGGGTCCCCTTGACAATCACCCTGGCACAGTGGGGGCCACAGTGAGGAGGGGGCGGCAGGAGCAGCCTGAGCACACTGTGTCCTCCTCTCCCCAGGACAAAATCAAAGAGCGCATTTTGGACACTGCGAAGGATCGTTTTAGGGACAGCAGCCTGTGAGTATGAGGCACCCATCTGTGTGCCTTTCCTCCCTTCACCTTTGCCCTGTCTTTTCTTTGACATGGAGTCTCACTTTGTCACCCAGGCTAGAGTGCAATGGAGCGATCTGGGCTCTCTGCAACCTCCCTCTCCCAGGTTCAAGTGATTCTCCTCCCTCAGCCTCCTCAGTAGCTGGGACTATAGACGTGCACCACCATGCCGGGCTAAATTTTCTTTTCTATTTCTAGTGCAGACAGGGTTTCACCATGTTGTCCTGGCTCGTCTTGAACTCCCAACCTTTTGATCTGCCTGTCTTGTCCTCCCAAAGGGCTGGGATTTCATTTGTGAGCCACCGCACCTGGCAGACCCCTGCCCTGTCTTGATGTTGGTGTCGGCAGGGTGTGCCCAGCCCCTGAGCTGGGGGTGGAGGGCTGGGAGTGACAACGGAGCTGGGACCTGCCCCCAGCCTCCTCCAGCACACAGTGGCAGAGCCCTGCCTTCAACTCAAGCCACGATGGGGGCCCTGGCATGGTGACCAAGCAGACACAGCCAGCGTGTCACTGCCTCGGAGGGCAGTGGAGAGGACGGAACTCTTGGAAAAGTCCCTCCTGTCCATGGGGCTGTGGCTGCAAAACCAACACACGTGGGCTTCCGTCTCCCAGACTCAGGAAAAGGCTGAGAGGCCTGGGTGTGGCCAGGGCCTGGGGCTGACACCCCCACCTGCAGATCCTGAATGGTGCCCCCATTCCACAGGAGCTCACTCCTCTACTTGAAGGAGAAACGGATGCAGTACGGCGCAGAGGCAACAGACCGCCTGTTCTGGAAGTTCAGGATCCTAAAACCCAGGAGCCGGAGGAGAGCTTTTGTGACATGGTCAAGAGATGGTTCCGGGCCATGATGCAGCGGCTGCAGACCTGGTGGCAGAAGTTTGTGGCCTGGGTGAAGATGGTGTTGGCCGTGGTCCATGCAGGGAAGGCCCTCTGGGAAGAGTTTCAGAGTTTCTGCTGCTCTCTCGCAGAGCTCCTCGGGTCCTTTTTCAGTACTAAGGAATCCCATTGAGGGGATGGAGGAGCTGACAGCCCAGCAGTGCTCTGAACCCCAGTGAAGCTTCCAATGCCACTTTTGCCCTTCCCATCACCTCAAACCCACCCTGACCCCTCCCTCAGCTCTGCTGTGCCCTGCCCCCCTCCACACACCCAACCCCCCTGTCTGGCAGTTCCTGCTGCCGCTCTGACCTGGCACTGTCACAAGGGCATCATAATACAATTTTCTTAAACTTACCTGGCAGAGGAGGGACTAAGATCACAAAGGTGGTTTTCCCAGGACAAGGCTCATTCGTTGCTGTATTAGTCCGTTTTCACACTACTGTTAAGAATGCCTGAGACTGGGTAATTATAAAGGAAAGAAGTTTAATTGACTCACAGTTCCACATGGCTGGGGAGGCCTGAGGAAACTTACAATCACAAGGGAAGGTGAAAGAGAAGCAAGGCACGTTCTGCATGGCAGCAGGAGAAGCGGGGCGTTGGGAACTGCCAAGCACCTTTTTTTTTTTTTTTTTGAGATGGAGTGTTGCCTTGTGCAATGGGGTGACCTTGGCTTACTGCAACCCCCGCCTCCCAGGCTCAAGTGATTCTCCTACCTCAGCCTGTGGAGTAGCTGAAATTAGCCTGGCTGATTTTGTAGTTTTAGTACTGATGGGGCTTCACCATGTTGGTCGGGCCGCTCTGCCCAACATGATCTCTTTGACTCTGTGTTGCACATCCAGGGCACGCTGATGAAGGGGCGGTTCCCAGGGCCTTGGGCAGCTCCGCCCCTGTGGCTCTGCAGGGTCCAGCCCCCGCAGCTGCTTTCATGAGCTGGTGCTGAGTGCCTGTGGCTTTTCCAGGCACACGGTACAAGCTCTTGGTGGATCTGCCATTCTGGGGTCTGGAGGACAGTGGTCCTCTTCTCACAGCTCCAGTAGGCAGTGCCCCAGTGGGGACTCAGTGTGGGGGCTCCAACCCTGCATTTCCCCTCTGCATTGCCCCAGCAGCTGTTCTCCATGAGCCCCGCCCCTGCAGCCGACTTCTACGTGGTGGTGCAGGCACTTCCCTACATCGCTGAAATCTAGGTGGAGGCCCCAAAGCTCAGCTGTTATCTTTTGCACACCTGCAGGCCCGACACCACGTGGAGGCTGCCAAGGCTTGGGACATGCACCTTCTGAAGCGATGGCCTGAGCTGTACCTTGGCCCCCTTTAGCCACAGCTGGAGCTGGAATGGCTGGGACACAGCCGTCATGTCTCAAGGCTGCACAAAGCAGCAGGGTCCTGGGCCTAACTTGAATTTCTCTCCAGAAAATGGGTTTTTCTATTCTACCATATGGTCAGGCTGCAAACTTTCCAATCTTTTACAGTCTGCTTCCCTTTTAAATGTAAGTTCTAATTCTAAACCATCTCTTTGTGAGTGCATAGAAGCATACAGTTTCAGGAAAAGACAGATCACGTGTTGAATGCTTTGCTGCTTAGAAATTTCTACTGCTGGTGGGGAGTGGTGGCTCACGCCTATAATCCCAGCACTTTGGGAGGCCAAGGCAGGTGGATCACGAGGTCAGGAGCTCAAGATGAAACCATCTTAGCCAACATGATGAAACCCTGTCTCTACTAAAAATACAAAAAGCAGGCCAGGTGCAGTGGCTCGCACCTGTAATTCCAACACTTTGGGAGGTCGAGGTGGGTGGATCACCTGAGGTCAGGAGTCAAGACCAGCCCCAGCAACATGGAGAAACTGTCTCTACTAATAATATAAAATTAGCTGGACAAGGTGGTCCACGCCTGTAATCTCAGCTACTTGGGAGGCTAAGGCAGGAGAACTGCTTGAACCTAGGAGGCAGAGATCGAAGTGAGCCAAGATCTTGCCATTACACTCTAGCCTGGGCAACAAGAGCAAACCTTCATCTCAAAGCAAAAAAGCAAAACAAAATATAAATTAGCTAGGTGTGGTGGCACATACCTGTAATCCCAGCTACTCGGGAGGCTGAGTCAGGAGAATCACTTGAACCAGGGACTGCGAGGTTGCAGTGAGCCAAGATCTTTCCACAGCACTCCAGTCTACCCCCGCCCTCCAAAAAAGAAATTTCTACTACAAGACAAGCTAAATCATCTCTTTCAAGTTCAAAGTACCACAGGGCAGGGGCAAAATGCTACCAGTCCTTTGCTAAAGCATAGCAAGTCTCCTTTACTCCAATTCCTAGCAAGTTCCTTATCTCCATCTGATGTCCCCTCAGCCTGGACTTTATTCTCCATATTGTAAGGTCGATGGCCTCGATGGGAGCCGGACAGACAACACCCACCCCTCTTCGTGCCTGATAACAGTTATCAGCCAGGACACATTACTCAGCATCTGGCTTCTCCATGTGGGCTCCCCCTCACCCACTTCTGCATTCTGCCCCCAGGTCTATATTCAGCACTAAGCTGTGCATTTGAACCTCAGCCCTAAACTATGTACTCTTTTTGTTTGTTTGTTTGTTTTTTTTTTGTTTTTGTTTTTTGTTTTTGTTTGTTTTTGTTTTTGAGGCGGAGTTTCACTCTTGTTACCCAGGCTGGAGTGCAATGGCGCGATCTCAGCTCACCGCAACCTCCGCCTCCTGGGTTCAGGCAATTCTCCTGCCTCAGCCTCCTGAGTGGCTGGGATTACAGGCACACGCCACCATGCCCAGCTAATTTTTTGTATTTTTAGTAGAGACGGGGTTTCACCATGTTGACCAGGATGGTCTCGATCTCTTGACCTTGTGATCCACCCACCTTGGCCTCCCAAAGTGCTGGGATTACAGGCTTGAGCCACCGTGCCCGGCCAAACTATGCACTCTTAGCAATAAACTATGCATTTGGACCTCAGCCCTAAACTTGCACTCTCAGCAATAAACTATGCATTTGGACCCACGAAAATTTAAGACATCCCGCCAAACCTTACCCAATGGCAGCCCACCTCTCAATAAGTCTCACCTCCTTACCTATAGCGGCTCGCCCCATCCGGGCCTTGTCTCCCTACGACCGATGAAACTGCCTATGCTTGGTTTCCCCAATATCTAATCAATTGCTTCTAACCCCCAAAAAACCCCCGGCCCTGAGAGGTTAAGCGTGACTTCTCTGGCCATGTCCCGGACCATAGAACCTCACCCGGGAGCTGAATAAATTGCTGAATAAATTGATTTTCCCTTTTTTTTTTTGTGACGGAGTTTCGCTCTTGTTACCCAGGCTGGAGTGCAATGGCACGATCTCTGCTCACTGCAACCTCTGCCTCCTGGGTTCAGGCAATTCTCCTGCCTCAGCCTCCTGAGTAGCTGGGATTACAGGCACAAGCCAGGATGCCCAGCTAATTTTTTCTATTTTTAGTAGAGACGGGGTTTCACCATGTTCACCAGGATGGTCATGATCTCTTGACCTTGTGATCCACCCGCCTCGGCCTCCCAAAGTGCTGGGATTACAGGCTTGAGCCACCGCGCCCGGCTTGATTTTCCCATTTTTATTTATTTATTTATTTATTTTGAGACGGAGTTTCGCCCTTGTTACCCAGGCTGGAGTGCAATGGCGCGATCTCGGCTCACCGCAACCTCCGCCTCCTGGGCTCAGGCAGTTCTCCTGCCTCAGCCTCCTGAGTAGCTGGGATTACAGGCACGTGCCACCATGCCCAGCTAATTTTTTGCACTTTTAGTAGAGACGGGGTTTCACCATGTTGATCAGGATGGTCTCGATCTCTTGACCTCGTGATCCACCCGCCTCAGCCTCCCAAAGTGCTGGGATTACAGGCTTGAGCCACCGCGCCCGGCCGATTTTCCCATTTTTATATATACCGGCCTCAGTTTCCTCATTGCGACTCGGCAATATATCTTACACATATCGCTATCAGCATTTTGCTCAAAGCCATTCAAGAAGTCTCTAGGAAGTTCCAAACTCTCCCACATCTTCCTGTCTTCTTCTGAGCCCTCCAAACTGCTCCAACCTCTTCCTGTCACCCAGTTCCAAAGCTGCTTCCACATTTTCAGGTTATCTTTATAGCATTACCCACATCTGTTATGAATTTTCTCTATTTGTACATTTTCACACTGCTACAAAGAACACCTGAGACTGGGTAATTTATAAGGAAAAAAGGATTAATTGACTCACAGTTCTACAAAACTGGGGAGGCCTCAGGAAACTTACAATCATGGTTGAAAGCGAAGGGAGGCCGGGCGCGGTGGCTCAAGCCTGTAATCCCAGCACTTTGGGAGGCTGAGGCGGGTGGATCACGAGGTCGAGAGATCGAGACCATCCTGGTCAACATGGTGAAACCCCGTCTCTACTAAAAATACAAAAAAATTAGCTGGGCATGGTGGCACGTGCCTGTAATCCCAGCTACTCAGGAGGCTGAGGCAGGAGAATTGCCTGAACCCAGGAGGCGGAGGTTGCGGTGAGCCGAGATCGCGCCATTGCACTCCAGCCTGGGTAACAAGAGCGAAACTCCGTCTCAAAAAAAAAAAAAAAAAAAAAAAAAAAAAAAAAAAAAAGAAAGCGAAGGGAAAGCAAGGCATGTCTTACATGGTGGCAGAAGAGAGAGAGAGAAAGAGAGAGAGAGAGATAAAAGAAAGAGAGAGAGAGAGAAAGCAGGGAACTGCCAAACATTTTAAAAATATCAGATCTCATTAGAACTCACTCAGTTTCACCAGAACAGCATGGGGAAACCGCCCCCATGATCCAATCACCTCCTCCCACGTCCCTCCCTTGACATGTGGGGATTAGAGTTCCAGGTGATATTTGGGTGGGACACGAAGCCAAACCATCTCGATTACACTCCGGATGTGCTGACCCCTGTGACTTCCGCAAGTGTGGGACACTTGACTGCATCATCTGTGGTAGCGGGCACTGCATTCATACTTTCCCCTGAAAGCAACACAATAAAATAACAGTTGCTGAATCAGGTGCCTGCGTTCAGGCTTCTCTGAGAGGCGGGCACAGGGAGGCAGGGGGCCCAGTAGTGACAGCAGAGAATGTGGCTCTGATGGACATACCCGGGTTACAGATGTGGAAGAACAAGGTCAGACCCCTGTCTTTTTTTTTTTTTCTTTTCTTTCTTTTGAGACAGAGTTTTGCTCTTGTTGCCCAGGCTG